CATTGTCAAACAGGCAATTATTTATCGGGCCTGAGCTAAATGAACTATCCATTCTGATGATCAGAAAATGCTGGAGTTTTGATTTTTCTTTTGTTTTGACCCTTCCTGGGGTGCTGAGTCTGCAGCATGTCACCTTACAGGCAATGTGTCAAGTCCCTGCAAGAAGCCAAAGCCAGCTGCTGGAGTGACAGGTAACAGGGGGCTGTGTTAGCCTGCAGGTGAGAGGAGGGGACCTTCAGTAACATGATTTAAGCCTCTGACCCTCAGTGCTGCCAGTACCCTAGCAACAGCCAGCAGCAGTGATTTAGCCTATGTGCCTTTAGAAAGTGAGGCATCTGACCATGGCGTTGTAAAACGACTGCAGGGGACAGGGGAACCATCTCTGGAGCTGGCCTTTCTCCATGGAGAATTTAAGAAAAGTCTAAACCCACCATTGGTGTCTATTCCCGGAATGTTTTCTGTGCCAGCCCCTGTGCTAGCAGCTACACGTTCAGAGTGAGATGCTAGGGCTCGAGACAAAAATGCAAATTAATCAAGACAAAACTGTTTACAGATAATGTTTCAGAAGTACCACAGGGAATAGTAAGAGTCCATAGAAGCTATAGAAACCTTTCTTAGAGAAGACAGGTTTACAACTGAGTCTTGATGGGTAAATAACAGTCGGTATAAAGCATTTCCAACTGTGCAAATTTCTGGGGTGGGGGTTGGGGGGACCCCAAAAAAAGATTTGATCCCTGTGTTCAGTGTAGTCTTGCCTGAGAGGAAGACACAATTAAGAGAATATTGTGCCTGCTGCGTACTAGGCACTCAACTAATTTATGTTGAATGAAGTGTAGTAAATATTTTCATGTAAGGCTGTGCAATTTTGTTGGGAGCTCAAGTAGAACACCTAATTTTGCTTGGAATTAGAGAGGAGCTGTGACATTTGAGCTGACAGATGGAGAGGAGTTTGTCTCGGTAGTAGGGAGGACCAGGCACTTCAGGCAGAGCTCCAGGCGCAAAGGCATAAACATCTGTTCAGGGTAAACCAAGTAATGTTAGGTGGCTAGAGCCACGGTTCATGGTTGGGAGTGCTTGAGGTTGAAACTCCTTCTGCACTAAGTTATGGTGCCAAGGCTCTGTTCCAGTCTTGTGAACAGAAGGGACTAAGATCCTGTTCCCAGCTAAGCGTGCACTGTAGTTTGGAAAAAGAATGGTGGAAAAAACAAAAAACAAAAAGACACCCCAGAAACCTCTATAAAGTCAGGTACTGCAAAGTGTGACACACACAGTGTCACAGGGAATGGAAACAGTGAGTAATGGGGAGTCATTTTGATGCAGTCAGGTAAAACGCTGAAATGACATTTGAGTAAAAAGCTGAATGAAGTGTGATAACCAGTGTAGGGGATTTCCTTCACCAGAGAATCAGGAGACCTGACTTCTAGTCTCAGCGCAAGTGTTTTCAGCTTGGTAGCCTGGGGAACTTAGTGGAAACTCGCTGGCCTTCCAGCTGGATCTTATCCAATTTAAAACATAAGAACCTAGCACAAAGTAGGTGCTAAGTAAGTGTGCTGGTGACTAGAGAAATAAGATATTAGTTACCAAATGATATCTGAACAAGAACATTATACCTATTCCAGTATTTTAAGCTTAGCTTGTCACAGGATGTATCTCCCAGAGGGAGGAGCCTCACAGCACATTGAAGGGGCACCATTTGGCCTGCCCCCACTTAGAGTGGATTTTATGTAAATCATACTTCAACAAAGAAAAAGGCGTTGAATTTAAAATGAGTTTTTAGTTATATTTTCGAGAATTTAAGTCGAGATCATTGAGTGTATGATCAGGTGAGCAGTTCAAAACAAAATCAATTACTATTTCAAAGTAACATCAGACCCACACTTTCATAAATAGTACTGGGTTCTCCTTATTGGACAACTCTAGCTCAGAATTTAGAATGCTGCACACATTATATACAGTCAGGTCCAATTAATGTTAAAAGCACAATTCCCTGGAGAAAAATCCCCAAATTTATATTAAATGGGCATTTAAAATTGAGATTAAAAATGTGGATGCATGTTCAGATTTCTCAAGGAAATGCCTCCTCGTGGCAGCCATATTGCCAAGTGTTTCTAACTCCTGGTTCTCAGAGTCAATTTATTATTTTCACATGTTCAGTAAACAAATTTTCGTGTTTATTTCAGTCCTAAACTGTTAAATAACATTTGGGAAAATTTTTAAAGAGAAAGCTTATGGCAAAAATCAAAGATGAATTAAGAGTCACTCAAAAGTTTTAGTTTATCTGTTTTTCAGTCATGTTGGTCTTATAGAATCAAAAATACTTCAACTGGTTTACACTTATCCATAGTTAAAATCAAATACAACATATCATTTACACGAGAAACTTCTAAGCATTTGTTCCAAGATATACATGCAGGAATACTGAAACCGTTGAAGACATCATATCTACTAAAATGGAAAATTTTTTAGATATATGAATATTTTGGTACATGACTTCTCTGGAAGGAGTCACAACATTGGAAATTTGGTTTACCTCTAGATCCAAGAATTGAAGCCTCAGCATTAAGGACAGGAGAGTGACTATTTCCTTTATATTCTTTGTACAATTTCAGCTTTTTAATCATACAAATGTATTATCTTACAATTTAAATAACATTTTTGCTAGTCACTGATATTTTTTTTAAAGTTTCATTTCATTATAATAGGTAAGTTCCTGAGAACAAAAGCCTGATTATCTTTATTTAGGATTCCACCTGCTCAATTTTTTTTTTAAATATATTCTTTCTTTTTCTCTACATACAAGAACTGGGGTACAGACCAGAGTTGTTGGGGTGAGAGGATTCACCATAGGCAGAGTGGGGAACACAATAGGCAGATTGACTGAAACACACTGCTAGCAGTGGGCAAGTCAGGAGAGCTCTGCTGTGCCATGTGGGTAGCTCCCTGGGCGGGGATCGAACTTGTGCTGCAGTGGCTGCGGATAGCTTCAGAGGTTGAGTCTTAAGCACTTGCGTCACCAGGGAGGCCCTGCTCGATTTTTTATATAAACAAAGTGCTCTGCAGACACATTTTTCTAAAAAATACTTGATTTAAAGCATTTTCTGTATCTTTAGAATAAAAAAAATTTAGACATACCCCATATTTGAATGTAATGGCATAATGTAAAAATTAGTAAACCAAAATTTCATTTCCAATCTTGAGAAAAATCTCTTTGCTTCTCTTGTTTTCTTTTTTCTTTTTCTTTTTTTTTTTTGCTTCTCTTGTTTTCTAATCAATAAAAGAATGGTGGCAGAATATATGTGGGAAAGAGGTTAGACAATATACACTTCAGATGTTAAAAAGTATGGGCTGGTAAAATTCTGTATAATCCTTATTAAATAAGTTTATAATTTACATCCATAGAACTTGTTTTTAAATTGCACAAATGACTATAGTATATTGACTTTTGCAAATATTACCATGACCTACTTTAGAATATTTTCCTCCTCTATTCCCCACCCTCAAAAAAGTTCACTCATCCAATTAGCAGTTGTTTCCTTCTCTCATCTCCCCTGCTCCTCCCCTCTCAGCCTTGGCATTCAAGGCCACCTTCTGTCTCTCCAGAGTATATAATTTGCCAATTCTGGACATTCCACGCAAGTTGATAGAAAAAGTGGTCTGTTTTAACTGGCTTGGTTTTCCTTTAGCATGTTTTCAAGGATTAGCATGTTGGAACATGCATCAGTACTTGATTCTTACTGCCACAATTCCATTGTATTGACACATTCTACCCCTGATCAGTTGGTGGATATTTGGGTGGTTTCCACTGTGGGGCTTTTATGAAAAAGGCTGCTATGGACAATATATAACAAACTGTGTGAACATATTACTTTTGGATGTATACCTGGGGATAGATTTACTGGATCATATAACTAGGTTTAACCATTTGAGAACTTGCAGACTTTTCCCAAAGAATTGGCCCCATTTTGCATTCCTTCCAGCAGGTTGCAATTTTTTCCCATTTTTCACCAACGCTGTCTATAATCTGCCTTTTTGAGTCTAGCTGTTCTATTGGGTATGAAGTGGCATCCCAATGTGGTTTTGCTTTACTTTTCTGATGACGAATGATGTTGAGAATTTTTTCATCTTTATTGACTATTGGGCTATCTTCTCTGGAGAAAATTTATTTAATTATTTCACCCACTTTTGTTATGTCTTCTCCTTATGGAGTTGTAAAAGTTCTTTATACAAATTCTAGATACAAGTCCTTTATTACATTTATGATTTGCAAACATTTTCCTCCCATTTTGTGGGTTGTCTTTTTCCTGATGACATCCTCTGAACATGTTTTTTAGTTTTGAGGAGTATAATTTATGTTTTTTTGTTGCATGAGCTTTTTATGTCCTAAGAAACTAGTCTACCCCAAAGTTACAAAGACTTTTGTCAGGTTTTCTTCTAAGAGTTTTAGTTTACATTTAGATCTTTGATCCATTTTGAGTTAATTTTTGAATATTGTGTGAGGTACAGTTCAAATTTTACTCTTTTGCATGTGGATAGCAGCTTCTGTCATTAACATTTGCTGAAAGGTTATTGTTTCCCTCATTGAATTATTTTGGCACTGTAAAGATCAATTGAACAGAAAAGGGAGGGCATATTTCTGGACTCTCATTCTCTCATTGATCTACAAGTCTACCTTTTATGCCAGTACAACTCTCATAACTGTATTTTTGTAGTAAGTTTTGAAATCAGAAAGGGAGTCTTCCCATTTCTTTTTTCCCTAAGATAGTTTTCCCATTGTGTCTCTTAAATCTACATATGAATTGTAGAATCAGCTTGTCAGTACAAAGATATCAGTTGGAACTGATGGAGTTTGCATTGAAAGTATAGATTGGGGCCTCCCCGGTGGCACTGGCCTCCCAGGCTGTTCCCCGGCCACCTGAGGAGGGTCCCACATGGTGCGCAGACCTCTCCTGCCACCCGCTGCTCCCCTCAGCAGTGTACTTCGGTCCTTCTGCCTGCTCTGCTCCCCGCTCTGGCTCTGGTGAATTCTCTCACCCTCCCGCACTTTTGACTGTACCCAGTGCTTGTATGTATAAACAAATAAATAAATCTTAAAAAAAAAAAAAAAGAATACGTATAGATTGGTTTGGGGTATAGCCATGTTAACATCAAGACTTCTGATCCATGAACATGGAATGTCTTTCCATTTATTACTTTTCTTTCAACAATATTTTGTAGATTTCAGAACATGATGTTTACATTTCTGTTAAATTTATTCCAAAGTATTTTTTATTTTGTTATAAATGAAATTATTTTCCTAACTTTGTTTAGTGTATTATTCACTGCAGGTATATAGAAATACAATTGACATTTGTATACACACCTTGAGTTCAGGAATCTTGAACTCATTTATCAATTCTAACAGTTATTTAGTGGATTCCTCCTAATTTTGCCTATGTAAGAGCCTATCATCTGCAATATAAAATTGCATATAAACAGTTCTACTTTTCATTTCCAAACTGGTTGCCTCTAGAATAGTTGAGTGCTATAAAAAAAAAATGTAAGATTTGGTTTCTGGAGATACTGGTCAATATTGTATAGACTTATTTTAAAAGTAAGAGAAAAAGTGCTGGAGAAGAAAAAGAAAACAGAACAACCAATTAATTAAGAGGCAAGAAATCTGGTTCTCATACCATAATTAATTAGCTGTGATTCTGAACAAGTTTCTATTTTCTTCTAGTTACACATTTTATTTTCAAGGTCTTTTTCCACTTGACACATCTGTGAATTTCTGGGGATATGTAAAGAGTAGCTTTCCTCAATTCAACTGTTACAACCAAGATTTTTACTATATTGATCATATTCTTCCTTTTCCATTTTTGCCCCTCACAAAAAAGAATAAGTTACCCAAACTGGTAGAACATGATAAAAATATCTTTACACTGAGAGAAAATATAACTCTCAGGAAAGGCAAAATATATGTGTTGCAAGAATGGAGGCAATTATAAGAGTCATCCTCCTAGGAACAAGCTGGACTATGAATACATTAAAAATGTGCGGAAGACATGAGTTAAAATGAGGAAATAGATGAAGTATTTGCTCTGTCTAGTGCTGGACTAACATTTTTAAAGGTACAGCTAAAGAATAATCAATAAAGATAAAATGGCAAATTAATACTTTAAAAAATATACATTATCTGAAGTTTTCACCACAAAGCTATCTTTTAAAATTGAAATTGTAGGTAACAGTTTTTATTACAATTTTGATTAAAATGGTGAAAAGTCTCAGAATCAATAGGACTTTAAAGTCTCAGAATGCAGAGAACTCCATTAAACATTTAAATGTTTAAACTCCATTAAACATTTCTATTAAACATTAACTGGGCACCTTCCTTCTGCCTCTGCTAACGCTGAGAGTACTAGAATACTAAGTTTTACTAGAATTTTTTTTTATTTCAAGTGTTCTGGAACCTCAGTTTTAGTCTCTGACATAAAGGAAGAGGACTATCCAAACAAGTATCGTATGTTTCCTTATGACACTGTAGAAAAGTTAGAGATGCCTTTGATATTTCTGGGAAACGGTCTTTATTTTCAGGTGTTTTGTAAGTCTGGACGCATTGTTCAGCATCTCTGATGGGTATCTCAGGGCTATTCAATTTGTTGCCATCATTGTTTTTGAACTGGGCGAGGTTATGCTTCTGAGAACGCGGCTTCATTTTTTCAGTCATGTACTTAGCTTTCCCAAACACTGGGCTACTTTCTTCATCAGAAGAATGCCTGTCAAGGCAAACACTCTCCTTCAGGACAATTTTCTGAGCGGTGGGCCTATCAACTTTTCCACTGTGACCTAACGCAGTGCTCGGGGGTCCAAATCTATCATTGGAGGTTTCCGCTATTTGGTTATCGGCAGAAAAAGGCATAGAAGTATTCACATTACAGTTTTCTTGAAATAGCTGGTCACCTTTTAGAACTTTAGAGTTTCTAGATTCTTTTGGCAAGTGAATTCCTAGAAGAGCTTTCGAAAGATGACAATTAGAACGACTGCTAGCAGTACAAGACTCTCTAAGTAGGGACAAAGTTTTCATGTCGGCATCTGGTCGAACATAATCTTGAAGGTAAGATGATTTGATATGAAGTCGCTCCTTTAAAGGTAAATCCTGAAGATGTAAATCAGCAATGCCAGAAAGGAGACGCTCTTCAGGATTTGTTTTTTGGACAGTCCAATCCAAAACTTCATTGCTGTGTGTTTTCCACAGTTTTGATTCAGGTGACAATTGTTCTGAGATATTTTTAAAGCTCTCTGAGACGGCTGTTTCAAGTTCTGATTTTAAACCAGGAGATACAGTGTTCCTTGGAATAACTGGAGAACTACTAAAAGAAGTACCTTCCCAGTCAATGGTACTCAGGTGTAGGTCAGCAGTTGCCGATATATTACAGGTTAAAGTATTTGGTTGTTCAGATTCTGAAATTAGAGACTTACAACCACTCTTAACTTGCATAGTCAAAGATTTTAGAGAAGACTTCAATTGTTCTTGTGGATTCAAGCAAGGGGCATCTTCAGGTAAAAGCAAGTTATTCAATGACACAGAAATAGATTCGAGGGGTAATGCAGAATCAGAAATTTCCAAATTTAACTTGGAATTCTGATTAGAAATGATTCCACAGGTAGGTTTTAAAGTCATGTGTGACTGAACATTCATGATATCCTCTGACTCTGGAACACTGTGTACTTTAGGTTTAATTTTCGTGCCTGAAAAGAAGAAAAAAAAAAACCACAATGTAATTAAAAACTTTAATTTTCTTTAACTTGAGTAAACAAATTGAAGAGTTCAGATTGGAAGCCTTCTATAGGAACAATTTGTGTCTTTCTTGTCTCACTGCATTCCTGTGATATAAAGCAAAATATTATAAAATAGAATTTTGGAAAACAAAAGATTTCTATAATCCAAAATACACTTCACATACTAGTAGGTGACTATTATGATTAGTTATATTAACATTTGGTTAACACTGAACAGATTGTTTTACTCTTGGCTTTTCAGCTTTAAAAGAAAATGTTAAAACAAAGGAGAGTATAATCCTTACTCTTGCTTTTATACAACTTTTAGTAGGTGGTTTTACTATAACACTTTGTGTGGCATAAGTAGCCATCAAATGTGACAATTACCTTTTTGTTTCTTCTCTTTTTTAATTTCTAACTTTTGCTTTTCGTAAACAGCAACAAGCTCAGGATAAGCTGCCTGAAACAATGATTCTTCTTCTATTGTTATAACCAGTTCCTCATGTGTCTCTTCTGTAGCATAGTGTTCTAAAAGATTAAAAATAAAAAAAAAAAAACTTTCATTACATCATGAAAAATTCAATTTTTCTAAGTAACCAAGTTTACCAGGTAACTTAAGTCATGAATATGTCATTGTAAATTTTGCTTTAAAAGACCTCTTTTCTAATAATCTATTGATACTGGTACAGAATTGATTTTCTTCTACCAGGCAAGAAAGAATTGGAAGGAGATTCCTTTTAAATTAGAACTTTAAAATGCCTTGCTTCAGCGATAGTAGGAGTAGCTTTAAAGGAAAGAAAACTTTGCTTTGATAAGGTCAGTTGGTTTTAATTTCTTCTGATAAGTATTAAAATTCCAGACCGAGAATGGAAATAGACAATTTCAACACTGGCTTTCTTTTGTAGTGGCTTCTGATGAGAACAGAGTTGAAAGGGTCATCAAAAATATTACCATTTACCAGAGAGCTATTTCAGAGATTACGAATGTTTTCAAGATTTACCCAAGTTTACCACTCACTCATAGCTGGTAAGTGAAAATGAGAATGCATCTATGTACATAGATAGTAAGATATATAAAGAGCAGACTAGATTCTTATTTTTATTCTATGATAGCTAGAGAAATCAGATTAACATGAAAACATTAATTGATGAGGTTAAAGGAAAAATAATGAGAACAGTGAACTTCAAGTGTTTCTCAGTTAAAACAAACTAGCTTGGCGTACATTTTCTCCCTTAAGGGACAGCTCTCACAAGGATACATGAAGGTGGGCACCTAATCCTCAGTTTCACGGAGATGTGCTGCCCACCTGGGTTAACCCCATTTCTTTCCAGTTGGTAGAACTGTTCCAAAAACAGTTTTGAACATTCTTCATTCTTCTATTTTGCACTTATTGCTTAGAATGGTTTATCTAATTCTTTAAAATTTCATTCTTCAAAATTACCACAGTTTAAATTTTCACTGATCAAATCTACGCTCACTCATTCAAACATAATCACACAATCTAACTTCAAAGCCAAATAAAAATAAATATTTAAGATGATTTTCCTTTTAAAATGATCTGTGCTTTTCTTGCCTTCAGTTTTGTAACTAATTCAGGGTCCACTATATTTCTGTCTGTAGCAGAATACTTTACTTTGATAATGCCCCCAAAAGAAATCTGACTATGAAGTCACATGAAATCTAAAAAGAGTAAAAAGAGAGAGAGGGAGACTCCCCAGGTGCTATTAGTGACTGATTTCTTTAGTCCCAGTTAGTCTATGAAATCCAATGACTGAATCATTTGTAACAGAATATTCTTGAAAAATATAAATCACAACCTTTTCCATATTATTTTTTTAAATACCAAAAAGTTAATGTAAGACATTAAAATAAAATTACTTTAGTTTTTCATATTTACTATTAGTTGAAGCCTATTTCAGTAACACAGGTAAACTGAAGTCAATACACATTGCCTGTGGCAGGTTTCTTCCTGGTTTCTTAGACCCATAGACATGTTTCACATATGTCTACAGTATTTGTTAAATATGTAGGGTCAAATATCACAAATTTTGCTTGAAGCAACATACCAGTCACATACATACCAGGCTTTTCCCATTCTATTTCAAAGCAATGAACCCCATTTCTGATTCGGGTTTTAATGATCCTGGAAAAAAAAGAAACTCATCTAATTAAGCCCAAATGCATGAGTTATTTGGAAAGTTTCAATTTGCAGGCTGAATAATTCAATTTCCACTGACTTTTATTCTATTTTTATCATATCCTAAAAATATTACAAGGAATTACTACATAATTCTTTGATTAGTTTATCAAAAAGATAATTTTATTATTAGATGTATAGAGCTTATAATGGTTAGCCCCTACCAGTAGATTGTTCATTATTCAGTGTTTCTCTTCCCTAATGATTTTTGCCTTAAAAACTATTTTGTTTCTGCTAATTTTGCTACATTACATTAGTAAATATTTGCCTGGTAAATCTTTTAAATGTCCTTATTTTTAAGCTTTGGATAGTTTTACTCTGCATATATCCTAAAAGTGAATATGGCAGAATATTGTTTAGTCATAGAATATAACCTGTCTTTAAATAGATGAGTTTAATCCATGGTCATTACATATAGATAGATAGTTGGATTCATTGGTATATCTTATTTTGTGTTTTCTGTTACCAAGCTTTTTCTTTTTTTTTTTTTTTAAAGATTTATTTTTATTTATTTATACAAGCACTGGGTACAGTCAGAATCGCGGGAGGGTGAGAGAATTCACCAGAGCCAGAGCGGGGAGCAGAGCAGGCAGAAGGACCGAAGTACACTGCTGAGGGGAGCAGCGGGAGGCAGGAGAGGTCTGCGCACCATGTGGGACCCTCCTCAGGTGGCCGGGGAGCAGCCGGGGATCGAACCGGCGCTGCAGAGGCCGCGGGCAGCTTCTCAACACAGCGCTCAACCGCTGCGCCACCAGGGAAGCCCTTCTTTTTCTTTTTAAAGATTTATTTATTTATGATACAAGAGCTGGGGTGTAGGCCAGAGGTGTGTGTGTGTGTCGGGGGTGAGAGGATTCACCAGAGACAGAGTGGGGAGCAGAACAGGTGGAATGACCAAAATACACTGCAGAGGGGAGCAGCCAGTGAGACAGGAGAGGTCTGCTGCACCGTGTGGGGTAGTTCCCTAGCCGGGGATTGAACTCGGGCTGCAGTGGTTGCGGATTGCTTCATAGTGCCATGCTTGTGCAACCAGGTAGGCCCTACCAAGCTTTTTCTTTGCTATTTCTTCCTTTCTCCTTCCCGAATTCTTTTGGTTTAATAGTTTCACTTCCCTATTTTATGGACTGGTTTGGAAGTCGGAGACTGTATTTCTAATGTTTTAGTGGCTACCCTTAAAACTGTTTATTTTGTGAGTTTTAGTTTATTATCATCCTTACGTAGTAATCATTAAGCATTATGTAGACATTTATACTTTTCCAGTCATTTTACTAACTTGGCAAAATATATCTGATCAATTTCTATGCCACCGCTGTTTCCCGTAATCCACATCTTCTGCCTGGGTTCATTTTTCTTCTTGCTAATGTACACCCTTTAACAGTGAAGGTCTATGAGTGGTAAATTCTTAGTATTCACATGTTTGAAAATGCCTTGCTAATGACTAATAATATAACAATGTCTAGGTTACAATTATTTTACAAAGGCTAAGAGATATTACACCATCATCTTTCTGGCATCTAGCATCATCATGAAAGATGCATGCACACAGATTGTCTTTCCTTAGTTATTTATCCTTTTATTTTGACAATTTTCAAAGCTTCAAAAAAGTTGCAAGGATAGCATGACGCAATTCAATACCAATCACTGAAATTCACCAATTTTCAGTTTCAGTTCTTCCACACACTTCACAATTTTGTTCCTTTCTGGTCCATTGAAACAGTCATCTGGTTAGCCTGGCTATGTCTTTTCATATTTATTTCTTTCAGTAATTTAATATTACTATGGGTTTGACACAGAAAAGTGTGTCAAAGTGTGAATTTACTGTTATCTTAAATATACTCTGTGTAAGCTTTTAAAACTCCAGTAAGCTTTTCTGCATCTTTATAAAATAAAAAAACCTGTATGTCCCGCTATTAAAGATATTAAGAACATTTTAAATAAGATGTCAAATGGAAACAGATTTCTTCACAAAATACTTTATATTACCGAATTGGCCGCAGTTGACTAGAATTCCTTCTACCAAGTTTTCTTTCTATCATGTCATAGTGGGTCAAAAGTGCCAACAATTTCTCACATGCATAGGGATTGGGCCACTCCATTTTTTCAAGAGTAAATCTCTGGAAATAAAAATAAAATGATTCACTGTGAGGGGTCTTGGTTTAAATGCCAGCATATTTTTAAGATGTAAATATAACCATTCTTAACCTCAGGTTTTCCATCTGTAACATATCACCCAGATTATGAAAATTAAGTAAGGTTACATGTAATATGTTAAATATAAGCAAATTTTTAAAAGTTGAATAACTGTTGGGTGCCATTTTGTTCCTGTTTTTGGATGAGATGATAGTTACAATTTAATGAATCATTACACTTTCCTGGTCTTTTTTTAGGAGTTAATAACAATCTCATGTAATCCTCACAGTGACTTAAAAATAATAATATTTCTATTTTGGCAATAACACATACATATCCAGGGTCAGACTATCCAAATTTAAATTTAGGTTCCTGATTATACATCCTGATGTTCTTGTAAATAATGCTGCCTTTCCTAAAAATGTCGGCATTTCATCCCGACATTCTATGGTTGTAAGTCCCTTTCCCCCAACATATCCCTGAATATATAATATATGCCCATGGTATTTAAGGTCACTTAAAAAAAAAAAAAACAACAACATAGTTAGGATTTGCCTTATGGTTCAAAAACTATGATCACTGTGTGGCAAACCAATGAAAATTAGAAATTATTGCTGAAAAATATACGGGCTCTGTTTTAAATCTTCTCACAAACCAAAAAAAGTGATTATCCTTTATCTTCCAAGTACCCGATTTTATACTGTAAAGTAAGAATTTATTTTCAAATACCTGAAACAATAATAAATCAGGTCTTTGGTACCTGATTTTCTTCAACAACTTATCCTTGTTCAAAAGAAATTCTTGAATAACCTAGAAAGAGAAAATAGAAATTAAGACCTAAAACTTTTAAGGAGTTTCTGAAATAAACACACATTTGAATTCTTATTTATTACCTCATGGAATGGGAATCCCTCACAACTGCAAGCTTTTCTGAAAAATAAATTATATATCATTAATACAGTTTTAGAAAAACTGAAATCATTGCATCCAATCTCTCATTTAATGAAATGTATCTTTGAATAGTACTCCACTCAAGTTTCTCTTCAAATAATTACTGAATTACTACATTCTGAGTCTAATTTAAAAAATTTTCATTTGCAGCTTACTAATTTTATTTAACAATATTTTAAACTACTGGGTCTCTGAATATCATCAACCCAACAGACAGCCTAACTTTTGAGCAGAATTGAGAAAGATTTTGCAAAATGTTCTTAATCTAGACACAGGGGAAGGTTATATATAAACACAGGTGTATAAATAGATTATGGCAAGAAAAAAAAGGAAAATGAAAACTTACTTCTTAATACTGTCCTCTACTGCATGCAGCTGCCTGTTCTGCTCTGTCTGGTGCCACTCACAAGGGCAGCAGTATTCATAATCATGCGGTTCACAATATCGATCACTTGCACACAATTTGCATCCATTACGTTCATGATCCTTAAGTGAACCTTTATGAAGACACAAAGTATGATTTTTAGTGCTTTTTAGAATTAAAATGCACAGTGCCTAGCTTATAGAAGAGTTTCAATACATTAGATTGACTAATGAATACTATAGTAAGCCTAAGGATAGAGAAATTCTTGAGCTATTAGTATCCTATGATTCTATTTTCTTGTTTTTGTAAATTGTTCTTCTATCTAAACATGTGAATTTGTAATTTGAAATTATACATTTATAACAGTCAACAATGGAAAACTTCGTGGTTTATGTTATAGTTGCACGCAAGGTAAGTAAAATTATTAGTATAAACAACATTAGTTAACAGAGTAAGTTATGAAATGGTTTCTTTAATGAGAATATAAAATAATATAGCCGGTAATTACCTCTGCTAATGGCTAGCTCTCAATTACCTATTTTTAAACTATACTTGGAACTGGACCAAATTCTGACTATGGCATGGGTGTGGGGCCTAGTTTACTTTTAAAGAAAACACAACTACCTTCAACATTGTCATGGGAATACAAAAGAACATACATAATTGATACTGCCTAAAATTGCCATTTGTAAGATATCAAAAAACTAGAGAGTAGGATCTTATCTATAAAAATATTTTTTTCTTTTATGCTCTTATCTGTCATTTAACAATGTTAATGAAAGCATATTAAGGCAAATAAAAAAGAATTAATTTAAAAAGGTGAGCTAATGTGAAAGCAGGGATGAGAATGGTATCAGACACTAATATTTTAGAATAACAGTCCCTACGTCTGCTTACCTGGATGGGAACACACAGAGCAATGAGCCAGTTTTTTAATGACTTGTGGTTGTGGATTAGAGTAAGAAGATTTTTCACTCCACTGATTAAACCTTTAAAAGAAAATAATTTTAAAGGAATATAAATAACAAAGTCACCAAAGGGCCATGTTATTTTTCATACCAGACAGTTCCGCTCCTTTCTACCTGCCTACTTTTCCCCCTTTGGTAGTAGATTTCTGGTCCAGTCTGGAAAAATCCTTAATCCATGTAGAATTTTAAAAGTGTGGCCCCAAAGACAGCTGAATTGCAATGGGGGGTGGTGATGCGGAGAGGTGGTTGTGGTGAGAAACATGGCTGTATGCTACTTATTCATTCAGCCTTTTCCTTTTTATAAAATAATCTAAGTTAGGCAGCAATAAGTAGGAGAATGATTTGTATGTCTGTTTTTTAATTCTCTTTTCTGTGTGTTAGAGTATAAAACATATTCATGTAAAGGCATAAATGAACATCCTTCTATGTCAGAAAGAAGGATAAAGCATAAACCTAAAATAACATTAAGCTTCTGGGTAAAAAATTGTTAAAAAACTCTAGATCACTTGGGATGATTTTTGTTATCTCATGCAAACAGCAAAATAATACCTGTTTAAATGAAAGCTCTTAGGAAAAATGCACATTACTGCTATGATTTCTACTAAATAAATTAATTTCATTTTTACTAAAGCTTCAGGGTAACATAAAGCCATCAAGGTGATAGTTTAGTATTCATCATAAAACACAAGCACTCCCCTATTTTTAGAAGTTCTAATAAAAATCTACACTATCTTTTCAGTTCACTGTGCAGTATCTCATACTAAGAGTTACTATTTAACTTTCAGAATTTCTAACTTTTTAGTAAAAAGACCAAATATTAAACTGTTACAATTCAGCAATAATTGCTACTGGATTAATTAAAGAGTTAATATTTAGAATGACACATTTTAACAAGAAACCTAATTTCATTTTATTCAAACACTAAGACATTTCATAAAATGTCACCAAAAATACATGTTTGCTGAAACAATGATTTGTAACTAGAAAACTAGTACATTGACTTGCTTTTCCTTCTTTATATTATTCTTCACATTTCCCAAAAGATTCCTTAACTCATCCCCATGGTCAAGTAAACCTTTTCTTTCTGCTTTGTCATAGTACTCACTGGCCTCAATAATGGATTTATTGAAGTCTTAAATCTATCAATAGTTTTACAGTTGACAGAGAAGCATTTGAGGCAAGAACAGTGATCCGAAATCCAATTCCTTCCTTCTTCATTGCTACCACTTACTGTTTTCCTTCCATGCACTTACCATCTCTAGCCTACTGGAAGCCAAGATTTTCTTCAGTCTCCCAGTTTCTACTTCCCTTTCTTCTTATTCATTTTACACTGTGTCATCATCAATATTAATTTTTATTGACCACCATTTTTTGTAAAACAGGTAAATATCATCAAGTAAATATAATTCACATACTTTGAAAACATTTTCAAACTTCAATATATTCTGTATCTTAATTGTCTTCAATCCTCAAACTGAATAATCTAAATGAATTAGAAATGATGTATTACTAAATGTGTGGCTATAGAACAAAGGTCATGTAAACATTTTGATTGTGTTACTTATTAAATATTTGCAACATGTCAGGCATTTTATTTATAGAAAATAAATACAACCTCAATGTATTTCTTATTCTTTATTTATTTATTATTTTTTTTAAAAGATTGATTTATTTATACAAGCACTGGGGTACAGGCCAAAGGCACGGGAGGGTAAGAGGATCCACCAGAGACAGAGTGGGGAGCAGAACAGGCAGAAGGACCTAAATACACTGCTGAGGAGAGCAGCGGGTGCAACAAGAAAGGTCTGCCGCACCATGTGGGATTCTCACTGGCCAGCTGGCTGGGGTCAAACCTGCGCTGCAGAGGCTGCAGACAGCTTCACAGCGCTGGGCTCAACCTGCTGCGCCACTGGGTAGGCCCAATGTATTTTTTATAAAAATAATTTGATGATATATATTTATCTTTAATTGGTGGTAAAGGTTTAAAATAGCCTGTAGCAAATGCCAAATGCCCATGGTCACAAACTCATTTGACATCTTAGTATCCTATGTTTGTAGTAAGCTAATAATATTTGGGGAAAAAACAGTATGACGTATATGATGTATACATATATATATATATATACACACACACACACAACAGTATGATGTGTATATATATATATATTTGAAAAATTTCAGAGTAAGTGAAAACAAATGATTTTAAATAAAAAGAAAGATGACTTTAAAAAATACAAAACTCCTTTTTGGAAAGTATAATCCTTTTAATTATAATCACTATTAAGTTCAACAAAAATAAAAGTCCAGTGTCACAAGAAAAAGGAAATTTTAGTTACCTCTGAAGTAAACTCTGCCCTTTCAAGATTTGTATAAGTTTTAATGCTTGCTCTTTTCCAACTCCAGGAACTCCCTTTCAGAAAATGGGAAGAGAAATTCAAATTAATAACTAGGGAATGGATAAATAAAAATGACATCTCCAATGGAAGATTGGGCAGAAGAATGAGGTTAACTCTTATAATGATAGGAAAAGACATGCATGTATACTTCTAAGTATATAAAGAAAATTGAATAGCAATACAGTTTACAAGTTAAGCAACAATTACACTGTTAATCTATGCAAAAAAGTCAGAAGGTTATAAAGCAAACCATTAACAATGTTGATTTTAGGGAAAGGAGAAACAGATTTAAAAGTTTTCACTTTCTGTTTTAATAATATTTTAATTTGATCTAATCTTAAATTTGTAATCAGGAAAATGCATGTTCACTTAATTACGTGCACCTAAATTTAATATTTAAAGACCCAGACAGCAAAAGAGAACAATGGATGCTTTCAAGTTAACGCTTAAAAATAAAAACATAAAAAAAAAGGCATTAAGTTTTTGACCCTACCCGACAAAGATAAATCAATCTATTTTCACATGAAAATTTCTAACTTAAATTTAATTTTCCAGTGTCTGTAAAAGTTTATGAATAAACTTTTAATCTTATATCCTGATAAGCAGGACTGGTATGTAGCCAGTAGGCATGAGGATAGACAACAGTATTAAAATACTTTCAAACCAGGTAGTAAGTAGCCACTGCCCAAGCATCCTGTGTGCCTGCTGCACAGAGGTCTCCCCTTTATCCTGAATCCCTTTCCCGTACCCAGGATGCTTCTACTATAAGAGCAGCACCTGGCACAACAGAGGGCATCCAGAGCCTGGCCCATCTGTACAGCCCGTATCTTTAGTTTGCTAGATATTTTACAAATCATCCTTCTTATATTAACAGATAATTGCACATTTAAAATTTTGAAGGCAAAGCATGCCAGTACATAATCTCAAAAAAATCCTTAATTGAACAATGTAAATAGCAGTTTCAGTTACAAAGAATACAAAAAGGTCAAAATAACCAAGGTTAATGCATAAGGTAGCACCACTGTAACTGAAGCTGATGTCTGTGAGTTGAAAAAGTTTCCAGTTTTCCTTAAATTCAACATTGGACTTCAAAGTTGAGACTTTTTTGGATATAATTATATATGGGAAAAAAGGGGTGTCTTCTATTTCAGAATGAGAATTATAATAAAATAATAAAATTTTCTTTCATTTAGAAGTTACTTTCCTCCTTCACATCCTATTCTTACTAAAAATTGAATTCTCTGATCACTGATGACATAAAACAGAAACTATAGTTAATAATTTTACTACCCTGTTTTCCTTTCTTCTGAATTGAGGTACAAAACAATTATATGTCATTCTTTATACTTCTTTTGATGATACAGTATATCATATGATGAGCGATTCAGAAGGATACAGAGATTTTTATTAGGGACATAATGATGAAATTACATAGTAAGAGCTACAAATAACTTTATACTTTTAAAAGTCATATTTAAGAAACTAGCTGTCCTCATAATTCCTAATTCATCACATATCTATTACCCTTTTGTTTAAAGTACTATCTGTGTATCTTTACTATAAATAAAAGGTTTTCATGAATAAAACTTAATGCAATGGTAAGAGACATGGACAGATGAATGGCTTATTCCAATAATCATGTTGCCTAGCAACAATAATAATATAACTGAGAATATGCATAATTGGGATGCTATAATGGAGACTGGAAACCAAAAAGCAGACAAAAGAGTAATAGGCGCTAACACTGGCATGATACAAGAAATGAGTAATTCCTCTTTTTCTTTACAAGGGTAGTCAGAGTTGAATGTGAATCTTTTAATCTAGAGTAATGGTTTACTGAGACTCAAGCTGTAGTATTACTTATTATTTTATTCTCATTTATAATATCCAGTGTCACAAGGAGCCAGTTTTCTTTTCTTTCTTTCTTTTTTTGGTGGGACCCTTGCCGGCAGCCAGAGAACAAACCGGCGCTGCAGAGGCTGCAGGCAGCCTCGCAGTCCAGAGCTCAACCGCTACGCCACCAGGGGAGGCCCCAGTTTTCTAATGCTACTTGGAATGCTGATATTTTACCTAATGAACAGCTTATTATACCTAAGATTATATTCTAAATTAGATCCTTAATCATATAATGATATATTCATACTTATGTGGTACGGAAGACCTCAGAATGACAAGCTCTGTACCTTTGGAAGATAGTCACAGCCAAGCAGTACAGCTAGTCCCACAAGAGCCTCTCTATCCAAACCGAGTTTCCTCCTGATAGATGTCATTGTATAACAGTCAACATGTGGGTCCTACAAGAACAGATTTAATTTAATCTTCAAAAAGTAAACATTTATACATTAAACAACTTATTAAAAAAGCAATTTGTCAAAGTTTTCCTTAAATATTCACATATTCCTAGAATTTTAAACAGGAAAATTATCCTGATCACCACAATATTCATAGGACCCAACACTTCAAAATGATTTAAAGAAATAAACTACAGCAGTTAGTTTTTCCCTCTTGCTTTTTGCTGTCTCTAAAAGTACATTTTCAACTTACAAAATTAAATACTACATTTTATATATTATAGAAAGGAAACATTCCCTTTAATTTTATCACTTAAATCAACTATTATTAAAGGCATGGTATACATTCTGCAGGAAAACATTTTCTTTGACACAGATAAATTTTATTAACTACAATTTTAAGTAAAAATAGGATCATTTGAAAGTACTATTTTGCAACACTTTTAGTCCACTAATATATCTGGATATTGTAAATGTCAGTAATACTTAACATTTTAATGATTGCTTATTATTACAATATATGGACTTTGAATCAGTATTTCATAACAGGGACATTATTTATATTTATTATTTTTTAAAGATTTATTTATTTATTCATACAAACACTGGGTACAGTCAGAAGCGCGGGAGGGTAAGAGAATTCACCAGAGCCAGAGCGGGGAGCAGAGCAGGCAGAAGGACCGAAGTACACTGCTGAGGGGAACAGCAGGCGGCAGGAGAGGTCTGCACGCCATGCGGGACCCTCCTCAGGTGGCCGGGGATTGAACCGGCGCCACGGAGGCTACGGGCAGCTTTGCAACCCAGCGCTCAACCACTGCGCCACCGGGGAGGCCCCATAACGGGGACATTATTAGTGTTTTCACAGAGAACACAGGTTTAGTCCGAGGTTCAGCTCTCCCAGGTTTAACCAACCACATATTTAGCATTTCCTTTATCCAGTCTTGAACAGTTAGAACCAAAATCTCCCACCCTAACTGAGAACCATGGCCATATTTAAGTATTACCCATCAACAAGAATTTAGGTTGTTTGCCAAATTTTTGTAATTATTTTTAAAATTTGTGAAAAAGCAAATTTTGCAGTATCAATGCTACAACTGACATCCTTATATATTTATTTTGCTATTTAGAGGTGTTTTTGACAGTAAATATAAAATGTAGAAGTTCTGGATCAAAACAATACATTTAATGTTATTTTATAATATATTAATTGAAACTGAATAGAATTAAATAGATCTTAAGTTCTTGAGAGAAATCCACATTTCAAAGAGGATGAACTACGTGATGATGTATTTTTTTATGAAAATATTTTGTTTAGTATTTGTTATTTGTCAGGCATCACGGCAAGCATTTTATACACATTATTTCATTTAGTAACTTAATTACACCTTAAAAATAGTTTATTAAAAAAAAGGCAGTCTATAAAACAAATGTTAATAAAAGAGGGCAATACCTTGGTATTCATAGTGAAATTTCTATAAACAGTTTGGGCCCCGTAAAGGAAAGCATCTCCATCATTGGTGAGGCAGCCATCCACATGACCACTGTTGTTGAGGTATGCGCACATGGCCTCAGCTTCCCCAGCAGCTTGGACCCAGGGAATTCCCAAGCATTCCAGCATCTCAAGACACTAAAAAAAAAAAGGAGGTGCAAGAAATTTAAGAGCATTTTTATTTTTAATATCAGTGTTTACCTTCTGTATTGCAAATGTATTTTTTTAATATTTATTTATGCATACAAGAGCTGGGGCATAGGCCAGAGGTGTGGGGGGTGAGAGGATTCACCAGAGACAGAGTGGGGAACAGAACAGGCAGCTTGACTGAAATACACTGCAATGAGGGGAGCAGCAGGCAAGTCAGGAGAGGTCTGCTGAGCCATGTGGGTTGCTCCCTAGCTGGCCGAGGGATTGAATTCGTGCTGCATAGGCTGTGGACAGCTTCACAGGTTGTGTCCTAACCCCTTGAGCCATCAGGGAGGCCCTGTATTGCAAATATTAATAGTAGCTTTTTGGGTGCTTTACAAGTGATGTTTTAGTAATAAAGAGAAATGTGAACAATGACCATTTCAGAGCATTAAAGAATGATTGCTAAATTTTCAGGTGTGACAATAAAAACTGTCCTGATGTTATTTTATTTATTTAACAGTCCTTGTTTTTTAGACAAAGGTACTAAAATATTGAGAATGAAACAATAGTAAGCCTGGAATTTGCTTCAAAGTAATGAAGCAGAGGAGTGGGAGGTGAGAGGGAATAGATGAAATAAGAAAAGGTCAAGAGTTTATAATTGTTTAAGACTGACCGATTACTTTTGTATTGATTTAAAATTTTATAATTAAAAGTTACAAAATTTTAACTTCAATTAAAATATAATCCATAAAAATGAAAATCATAATACACGTAAAACATAACCCATATTCAAATTTTCAATTATTTATTTATTTATTATTTATTTATTTATACAAGCACTGGGTACAGTCAGAAGTGTGGGAGGGTGAGACAATTCACCAGAGCCAAAGCGGGGAGCAGAGCAGGCAGAAGGACCGAAGCACACTGCTGAGGGGAGCAGCGGACGGCAGGAGAGGTCTGCGAGCCATGTGGGACCCTCCTCCGGTGGCCAGGGAGCTGCCAGGGATTGAACCAGCGCTGCAAAGGCTGCGGGCAGCTTCGCAACCCAGCACTTAACCGCTGCGCCACTGGGGAGGCCCACAATTTTTTTTTAAAAGTAATCCAATGTTCATTGTTATCTCAAGATTCTAGAAATAGATTTTAAAAACAATCACATTAAGATTTATTTACATTTGTGAAACTACAATAACCCTTCCCACATGGTGGTTAACACCATGGGAGGTCGTCTAAAGAAGATGCTATTACATAATGAGGCCATGATGTTCTCTTCTGCCCTCATATCACCTCCCTCTGTACAATGAAAACTCTCTTATTGTGGAAAACTATGGAGGGGCCACTGTTGCTATGTTCTCGGCAAGTCTACTGTCTGTGCAGGATGTTTCTATCAATTTGTTGATATATAAACATCCTCTGTGAGTTTTCTTTGGGTTATGAATTTAACCCAGCTGAACAGCTTGTCATTGTCTCACAGCTCTTTTTTGTCATGTTTCATATCACTTTCTATCATTGGGGAGTAGAGGGCATGGCGAGGTAAAGAGGTCACTGACTTGTAGTTTCTAGAGACTGATAGAATAAATAACTCTTTTGCTTTAAATATTTGATTTCATGCTAAATCACATAATAAAAACTTCTGCCAGATGTTGCCCAAAGTGGACAAGGTTCAAAAGGCACTACGTGGGACAAAAGGGTACTTTTCAGGACTTTGGCTTGGTGACTTAGACAGTTTTGTTACAGGTTTTGCAATAAAGTTTGCTAATACCTTCCCTAGATAGTAAGTATCCTTTCATAATAGTAAGAGCCCAAAAGTAATTTCAGATCCTCATGTCATTTGAATTGTTTAGAAAAACCACCTGGGAATTTGTGATGAAGTCAGTTTAAATTTCCCTACCCTAAATCTAATCCTATGGGGTAGAGGTGGTTCTGCAGGGAGGGAATTATTCGATCAGATCTTAATGCTTACCTCTTTTAAGATTGCTTTAAAATGTGATCTCCCTGTTTTCTGAGACCATGTTTTCCCAGAAGACCCATACCGCATCTGATTCCTCTTGCTTATGACATCAGCTTTTAGCTTTGGGGGCTCTCCTTCCATAACAAACACCAGTTTTACATCCATAAGTGTTAAATGTAAGATACGAAAAAATAAGTTCCTGAAATACAAAAATTAATAATTCATTAACTATCACACATTGACAGCAAAGCCCATAGCAGTATAATGTAAGGACATTAGACAATTATCCAAAATATTATATCCAATAACATTTTATTTATCAAGCTATGATTTTAGTGGGTTGAGAAACCAGACTCTTTTTAAGCAAATGAGATTTATGATTATGCTAATTAATATGTAAAAAATAGTTTGGAGCATGAGGTGGTCAAGAATGGAGGGAAGGAAAATAATGAAGGTGTCATTTCCGCAGGACAAATGAGAGATGACGTTGGCACACACCGAGGTGGTGCCTCTGTACACTGAGAGAAGCAGAACTGGCAAGACTTCTGATGGACTGCATATCAGGAAGGGGAAAACGAGCATTTCTGGCCTTTAGTAACTGAAACAACCCAGTGGGTATGGTAAGTGGGCAGCTGGATATGTGAGTCTGGAGATCAAAGGGTAAGAGGCACAAATTTGTGAGTCATTAATATAAAGATGGCAGATCCAGAAGCAGAACCTCAGAACAGGAACTCAAATAATATGAGGCAGTTTAGGATAATTCTCTTTCTTCCTTTTATTAGTCAGCTTTTCAGAATGAATCAAGATTAAATATGGTAGCATTCACTTGCTGGTTATCCAAATGCCAACATTCCCCCATCCTTAATCATTCTTTCCTCTTCTATATTCTCCTTAGCAATGGCTAAGAGCAAAATTTCTCCATATACATACACTAGTATTGCATGAAATTTGGAGAAATAAAAGGAAAAAATTACCCCCCCCCCCCCCCCGCGCCAAAAGATGGTAACTTGACTTGGAGATTTTAAAATCTCAGAATGTAAAACAACAAAATAAAGGGAAATGAAACCAAGACATCAAGTACTTATACACTCACACATTTACCTTCTGAGAACTTGTACTGTACCTGAGGTGGGGCTTCATGACTGTTCCAATCATTTTTTTGACCGTCTGTGCTTCACATACCCAGAGACTAAGATCAACTGCAAGAGTTTTCCCACCAAGTTCACGCAAGTGGATGGGTTCCTTAACAGGCTCCAAAATTTGCCACAAGTCATTCACTCCCATTTTGGTGATTATCTGTTATTTGAAACACACTTTAAAAAAAAGTTATTAAAAGACAACTTCAGCACAGGAATTCAAACAATATAAGATTGTTTAGAATAATTTGTAGAGAATTCTCTTTATTTCTTTTACTACTGAGCTTTTTGGAATGAATCAAGATTAAAAATTGTGGTAACTGAAGTACGCTGGTTACAAAAAGAGTAATGCAACTAATGTGTTGAAAGCTATTTGCAGAGAGTGGCATGCTAAATTTGTCCTTAAAATTCACTCATGTCACCAAACATGGGTTTCTATATAGTACTGGAAAATAGACATTTTTAATTTAATGTAACCCAAACATCAATGACATCCTCCCTTAATCATTCTTTCCTCTTTTACGTCCTCTTTTTTTTTTTAAAGATTTTATTTTTATTTATTTATTTATTTATTTATTTATTTATTTATTTATTTATTTATTTATTTATTTATTTATTTATACAAGCACTGGGTACAGTCAGAAGCGTGGGAGGGTGAGAGAATTCACCAGAGCCAGAGTGGGGAGCAGAGCAGGCAGAAGGACCGAAGTACACTGCTGAGGGGAGCAGCGGGCGGCAGGAGAGGTCTGCGCGCCCTGTGGGACCCTCCTCAGGTGGCCGGGGAGCAGCCTGGGATCGAACCGGCACTGCAGAGGTGCGGGCAGCTTCGCAACCCAGTGCTCAACTGTGGCGCCACAGGGGAGGCCCCTTTTATGTCCTCTTTATGGCCAAGAATAAAATTTCTTATAATTGCTTGAAATTTGGAAAACAAAAGGAAAAATTTACTCCCCCCAAAAGGCGATAACTGACTTTCTTCCAGCCAATAATGTGAACTAACAAGTAAAGAGATGGGTAAAAGAATCCAGGGGTGATGTCTTAAGCATTTACTCCTTGCTTTACATACCTCAAGAATGAACAGGATATTACAATCAGGAAAAATACACAAATAAAAACCCAAAAGCAAGGATGCATGTAAATAAGCAAACTAAAAACAAAAAACAAGGAGGTTAATGAAGTAAAATTTTGATGATAAAGTGTGGAAAGAGAGAAATTGTGAGTTGGAATACAAAATTTTTTTTTTTGAAAGCGCATGAACTTTTAAAATTGCAAGCATTCACGCTTCCTTGTTGAGGAAAAATATCTTTAAAAAAATTTTTGAAATCACTGTAGTTTCACTATCTAAAGAAAACTAATACTGGACCCTTTTCTATGTGTGTAGCATTTATAAACAAAACTGACTATAACTGACTGTAACCTGCTTTGATATTTTTGTACAGGCCAGGTTTTCTTTTTTCAAATGGCTACATCTGTTTTTCTTTCCCTGTTGTTATTTGATAGAAAATATTATGCATAATTCGCAATGAAGATTCAGTCTACACAAACACAATCCAGATTATCATCCTCCGAATAATCTTAAATCCCAAAAGACAAAATAATTTAACTCAAAATACTATGAACAAGATTAAAACACATTCTAAATAAAAAGTATGGTATTATGTTCCTTTACCAGTCTTCATTAAAAGCCAATTTTCTCAATTTGTACATGGCTGCAAAGAAAATTTATGTTGTGTTGCTGTCATCTTTGTGCTTCTCCTAATCTTAATTTTATAAGTCAGTGTCACCATAAATTATTTGTACACTCATTTTATGAAGAACTGTGCAAGTATTTGTGATATGTCATTTTACAATGAAAAATACAACTGCAAATGCAATGAAGAAAACATTAGGGAGGTTAATGGTGGCTTAGTGCAAATCTTGTCCATTTCACATCAAGAAGCACCACTAGCACAGATTTGGAGTTTAGATTTTATCTCTGTTAATGTGGTGAAAAGTTGTGGTTAATTCTTGAAAGAGAGGCGAGAAGGCATTTTTAAGATGGACAACAAGACTGTTAAAATATTAGCCATCAAAACATACTAAATTCACAGATTTTGAGGTAAGCTACTGTTGACAGTTTTGCTTTCCTTTCTTGTAACTCATGCTGAATACTGGAATGTGGATTGTTACTGAAAGAAATTATGCAATCTCCCTCTGGAGGAACATAGTAACTAATCGTATTTCTTTAAATGTGATCTTGACAATAGCTCTTAAAATTTTTAGTACAGGCATCTTCTGATTTATCAATACCTCTTCTAGGAAATTAAGGCATGCTCTTAAGTGTGTGCAGATCCATAAACAAGGGTATAAATGTAGCACTTCACTGGGAAGAACCAAAGTATACATAACTTTAAATAAAAAAAGACATTCATATAATGGAATAGGTGACACAGCAAATAAAAAAGTGAGATAGATCCATGATACACTGATAATACAGTCCCCAAGTTTTAACATGAGAACAGACATAAAGTAGGCTTGGTATCAAAATGACTGCAGTTTAGGGATAAAAAGTTACTCTTCTAAAAAGATTCTTTTGTGTTAATTTTTAAAAGAACCATAAACAAGTATTACTTTTCAAATTGCAAAAAAAAAGTCTTTAAAAATTTGGTCCTATCTGCAAGAGATTGGAGAAATAAGCAAGCAATCTTCAGATGGTTTGCTTTTTTGCCTAAATATTAAATGATCAAGTATGGGTAAGTTGATGGTTCAAATTAAAAATCAAGCAAAGTGCTGCATATTTACAACTGCTTGAATATCATGTATGACTTTAGTGTGACTTTGTAAGGGATGAAAGATTCCCATTTTCTGGTTTCCAGCCAAGGCCCTAGCAACTAGATGTATGGTTTAGGCTAGGCACATCTTCCAGCCCCAAAGTTCAATCCTTCCTATCATGTCTCTATACCACGTCAGTTGACTCTGTGTGTATGTATATACTGAATATATATATGGATACATATATGAATAGTAATGAGTAAAGGTTGTCACTTGGTGGAGAGCTGTTTATGATGGCCCATATAAACACACATTTTTATGTATAGGACTGTGGCATAAATTGTATATCAATTTTCACTGTGGATTATGGGGGGAAAATTAAAGACTTATTAGGTTGACTTTTGATTTTATAAATGGTAGTCCTCTTAACTATTTCAAGCACATTAGGATCATTCTGTAAAGACTTTAATGAAGTGTTATTCAATGTGTCAGCTATGCCTGGAAAAAAGCCTGGAACCACCAGGTTAGATCCTTAAGATAAAAAGGCATTTAGCTAAGTTCATAAATAATAGTTCTACTATAACATGAATATACTTAGAATTTAATTCTTAGCAGAGTGGGAGGAAAGGGGAGAGGGTCAATGTGACAGTGTAATGCACTAAAACCTCTGTAGTAGGTGAGTGGAGCAGATACAAGCATCAAGGTGTAGAGATTGTGCTCCCCAAATTATAGTCTTGTATACGAATGGTAAAACAATAAAATTTGATAAACAAATAAAATTCTTCATACTGTTTGCTTCTTTTGTCAGAAATAAACCTAGTCTATAGAATGAGTGTCAGCAGCCATACTATAGGACAAGCAGCACCGTAGTTAAACAGATCTAAGTGATGTCTACCTCTCTTTTATTAAAATGTGAGCAGAGGCTGCAAAGCTGTACCAATGGCTGCTTACACAAAACTGGTATGAACACCTTGGCAAAAAGAAAAAAGTAGGTAACAGAACTATCTGTCACTTTGTTTGCATCAGCTCAGCCAGTCTTCTGAAGTAAGTACCAATGGTGAGACTATAAAGCAATTAGTTACAAACAGGGACAGAACGCAACAGATATTAAGATACGCACTATCACTACACTCAAAGACAGAACAGCTGGTTCTTGCATGAGGTCACGATCAATCTTGATGAAGTTACTTGAAAACTGTTCACCATTAAATAAAATTTTAAAATACCCTACCTCTCAAACTCATCTAAAACTACAATTTGGTCTTGCTTTTTGTTTTTTAATCGGTGAAACTTAAACTTTGATGCAGGATTTGATTAAATACTCTTATCTTTTATAATGTAATCATTTTCTTGATGTTGATCTGATCATCCAATCAATGGATATTATCTAAGAGTGTCCTAACACATTCACAACTTAACAATTAGTGTGAGAGGGCCTCCCTGGTGGCACAAGGGAAGCTATCAGCACTATGAAGCTATCAGCAGCCACTAGAGCACCAGTTCTATCCCAGGCTAGGGAGCGGAACAGTCCTCTCCAATCTTGCCCACTGCTCCCCTCAGTGGTGTATTTCAGTCAATCCGCCTGTTCTAGTCTCCACTTCTCTGTCTCTGGTGAATCCTTTCTTCACCCCACCTTCCCCCATTCCCCAGCCCTGCACCTCCAGCCTACACCCCAGCTCTTTTATGCATAAATAAATCTTCAAAAAAAAAAAATCAATGTGAGAAAAGGACATTTATGTGAATCAACAAAGTCAGACCACCCACAGCAAATAAATTTATAACCTATTGGTGCAATGCATTTAGTTTTAATGAAAGCATGGACTTGGAAGAGAAAATCCACATATTCTGGAGTCTGATATACCACTGATTAGCTATTATGACCTCGGGAAGACAGTTAACTTATCTACAAAATGATTAAACCAGATGAATTGCAAGATTCTGAACACTTCAATTTCATCACCAAGTTTGGCAGGTTGGCATTAAAAAAAACAAGTCACTCAATTTCAAATATTACTGCTTGGTAAAATTTCTACTTTAAAGAAAGGCTCAAGAACCCACTTCAGGTTAAAACAAAAACAAATCCTTTGATGTAACCATATGGTGCCCATAAATCAACTTATGTTCCTAAAACTTCCTTAAAAGCTAGTAAGCTTTTATTGGTTAATTATAAAACTGAATGAGGTGAGAAAAACACAGAGCCTTGCTAATTCCACTAATGAATCAAATTTAAAGAACATAAAAAGAGGTTGTTTGATTTATGCAGAAATACATTTTATTAAACTAATAGTTTTCCAATTTTATCGCACTTCAAAGCAAAAACATCATTAAGTTTTTTAAAGAATAAAGTAGGTAATACTTTAAATTTCTTAATTTCCATTTAGAAGACTGTATTTTCATATAACGCTCAGGAAATGATGTAAAGTTTCCAGTGTAGAATTGTATGGGAATTACATAATTTTTCAAATTAATAGTGTTTATTTCCTCAATTTTATTTTCATATAAATTAGCTTAAACTTTTAGGCACAATATAATCCGGACTTAATTTACCTGTTATCAATAAATACTTATTAAATGTCTACCATGTATAGGAAACTCCTATAGATGCTGTAGATAGAATAAGGAAAGATCAAACCCAGAACCGAAGGACTTCAGTAGGGGAAGTGAGACTGGAGAGAAGGGAATTAGAGCCATGTGAATGGTACTGACACATCACTGCGATGAGTGAACTACATAGGAATGTACCACAAAAAGGGGTCCTTTACCTACTCTGGGGCCTCAAGGAAGGCTCCCTAAAAGAAGTGACCACTAAACAGAAATCGCCCCATAGCCCCACAGTTTTACCCACAAGGACAGGTGAAGTCAGATGCCTTGGTGGTTCTGCTTATTTTGACCCTGTGATACCTTTCACTGAACCAGGCAAGGCCACACAACATGTACTTGACTATCTTCAGAAGGAAAAGGCGACTCTGATGGGAGGAATCTACTAAAGACCAGGTTTGCCATCAGCTTTTTTTGAGAGGTGGCAAAAATGCCAATTTTTCCCATTTAGAAGGGAAGATTTAAAAATGGTTTAAGGGCCTCCCTGGTGCCGCAAGGGATTAAGAGGCAACCTATGAAGCTGTCTGCAGCCACTGCAGCAAGAGTTCCATCCCGGGCAGGGAGCTACCCACAGGGCACAGCAGACCTCCCCTGTCTCCCCGATGCTCCCCTCAGCAGTGTACTTCAGTCAGTCTGCCTGTTTGCTCCCCACTCTGTCTCTGGTGAATCCTCTCACCCCCCGCACCTCTGGCCAGTACCCCAGTTCTTGTGCACATAAATAAATCAATCTTAAAAAAAAAAATTTCAATGGTGAATGTTAGCTTAGGAGTGTCTTTACCACTATTTTTTAAACATAGGAAAAAAGGCTAAAAAAGGTGAAAAATCAAAGTATTTTGGGATTAAATGACAAGATGCCCCCCACGTGCAGCAGTTGTGTCCACCCGGCGCGCCTTTTAAAAGCGGCTTCTGCGCACCTGACGGTTCCCGCTCACTCGGGGCGCACGACGAGCCGGCACCGTCCCGCGGGTCGCCCCAACAGGAGCGGCAGGGGGCGTGGGGCGGGGCCGCGCAGCCCGACCGCAAAGCCACGAGCCGAACCCCGCGAGCGCCGCGCCAGCCCGGGGGGACAGGGTCTCCACAAACCACCGCGCCGCCCGGGGCGCTGGCTCCAGGGGCGGCGATTCCAGACTCGCCGCGGGTCCGGAGAGAGGGACACCCGGGGGCCCGGACCCGGCCGCGGCTTCCGATTGCCCGGGGGGGCCGGCGTCGCCCCCAGCCGGGCCCGGGTGTGGGGGCCGGGCCGCTCCCCGCGTCCCGGACTTACCCGGAAGCCCCGGCCCCTCGGCTGTGGGGGCCGCCCGCCGACGCTAACCCGCCGCCTGGCCCTCGCCGCCGCCGCTCCGCGCGCCCCCAACTGCGCTCCGTGAAGAGACGCGAAGGGCGCCGCCGCCCTCGGCCGGGCGCGACCGCGCGGGCGCCCCACGAACGCTTCAAATCCGGCGCCTCCCCGCGAGCCCCGCCCCTTCCGGGAAGTGACGCCCCCTCCGGTCGCCGCCGCGCGCCCGGCTCCCTGCCCGTCCGCTACACGCATGCGCGGAACTGTTGCCAGGGGTCCCCGCGTTCGCTTCCCTTTCCTTAAGTTCATCACCCGCCGCCGCCCCGCGTCCCGCCGTCGCCGCGCACGGCGTGAGGCCCCGCGGCCCCGGCCGCCAGGGGCACTTCCGGCCCCTCCCCGTCGACGCCAGTGGCGCGAAAACTCCGAACGGCGCAGGCGCGGGCGGAGTCCCGGCGGGCGGGGGGCGGGGCGCAGGCGCGGAGCGTCCCGCGGTGGGCGCCGGGCGGCCGGGCTGCTGCCTCCTCCGCGGCCGGCGCGCGGTTCCCGGCGGCCAACGGCGCCAGCCGAGGCCGAGACGCCCCGCGGCGCCCTGAGCGTCCGGTCGCGCCGCGGCTGCCCCGCCGATCGGGTTCCCGGGGAGACTCGGACTTGCTGGAGGTAGGGTGAGGGCGCGCGCCCCGCCGGCCCCCGCCCCGCCCCGCCCCGCCCGCCCGGCCCGGCCCGGCCCGGCCCCGGCCCCGCCGCCGCGCCGCGCCCACCCGGCCCGGCCCGGCCCGGCCCGGCGGCAGCGCGGGCTTCGCGCCTCCCCGCAGGCGGCGCCGCGTCGCGGGAAGTTGCCCCGCGGGGCTGGGCCGCGCCTTCGGCGGCCCCGGCGGCGAGACCGGCCCGGCCGGGACCCCGCGCCCCGCGCCCGGCCCCCAGCCCGGGAGGAGTCGGGGCGCCGGCCGGCGGGCGGGCGGGCGGGCGGAGCGGGAGCCGGGCCCGGCGGCGGCTCCTCTCCGGGGATGCCGCGCGCGCTCAAGTTTGCGCCGGGGCTGCGTGCGGACCGCGCCGAGGGGCGCCGCGTGCCCCCCGCGGCCGCGGAAACGCGGGACCCTGGGGCGGGGGCCCCGGGCCTCGGTCTCCCTCTCGCTCCGTGGAAAGGGGGGGCCCCCGGGGGTGCGGACCGCGGGGCTGCAGGACAGAAAGGGCGAGACGGGCAGAGCCCCGAGAAGGCGGCCGCTGGGTGCTGCGCCCCGGGGACGCCGGGGCGGGGGGCGCGGGGCTCCGTGCGCCCCACGAGCAGGAGGTGAGCAGCCGAGTTTGAAAGACAAGTTTTCTGGGGTGCTTGTTTCAGAGAAGACGGGTACGCACCTCTGCCTGCGGACGGCTGCCCCGAGGCGCTTAAAGATCTGACCCGCGCGGGCGGTGGACGAGACCGACCTGCGGGTGTGTTTTGGGGGGCCGGGGGGCGCCTCGGAACTTCTGCGTGCGTTCATTTAGCTCAGTCTGGAGTATCAAGGAGATAATTTGGCGTTGGAGTGTGGCGAGCTCCCTTTCCTGGCCGCCTGTCAGTGCAGACAAGTGTGGAGATCCCCAGCTCAGAGCTGCTCGGCGTGTTTTCGGGGCGCGTGTCAGATGGAGCCACAGTTGTGTGGCCTTGGGCAAATTGGCACCAGCGCTTTAAGCGTCAGCTTTTGTTCTGTATTTGGCGGAAAACAACTTAAATTAAGAGTCTTAAGACTCTTAAGAGTCTTAAATAAGTGTGCGTGTCTGTTGGGGCGGAGTTGTAGCGCTAAATATGTCTATGGTAAGAGGGAAGCACCTAACAGTGCGCCGGGGCAAAGCATGAGCGCAAAATGACCCACTGAAGTGGAAAGCAGATTTTATTCCCCAAAGCTTTACCGCCTCCATGTAGAATGTTAGATAGAAACTTGCGTAAACCTTGACTATCGCATTTCTATCCAGGTTAAGAATATTGATCAAAGTTGTATTTGACTGACTTTCAGGAATTAGTAAAGAAGAAACTCAAATTTTCCCCATAATAGTAGGTATTATAATTGACACATAATAGTCACAGCTGAGTATACACACACACACACACACACACACACACACACACATATTCCCCCCCCCCATGACCAAGGGTCATTTAACTGTTAACATTGTTGATTCACTAGTTCAATGAGTTCTGTCTTTTCTCACTTAACATTCTTGCCCTAGTAAACGAATTAAAAATAATGTCTGTAGCTTTCTTAACTACATTCCCCAATCCATCGCTACTGCAGAGTCTATTTTACTAACAACTGGTCTCTATCTCAATATCCCTGGAGCAGTTCTGATAGTTTTCAAGCGAGATAAGTGTATTATTTATCGTCTTCCTTGCCAAAACCTCTCCATCTATTGGCATTAAATATTAACCTGCTCCACACTTGGCATTAAGTGTGAGGATTGTTTCTGGAAATAAAACGCACAAAATGTTTTTATAAAGCAAGTTCCAACTTTTATTTGCCTTGAATAGTAACACTAGAGGGACACCTCAAAACAGAATCTTTGTAGTTTTATACATTGAGGGATGATAGGCAAGAAGATGAGTAGATTAATAGCCAATTTCACTGCCTTGCATCAGTTAAAGTGTTACTGAACCTAGTTCATACCAGGAGGAACTGGGCAATAAATAGGTTTGACTGTTTTGACAAACCTGGCTTTGGATCTGAGTGCTGCTAAGGTTGGCTGCATACCCCTGGTCAAATGGTTTTCACCTGAGTCTGAACATCCCCTTCTATAAAATAAGGACAATATTTACGTCCTAAGGATTTTGAGGCTTAAAGGAAATAGTTTTTCTCTAAAGTTAGTAAGTAGTAATTCCACAAATGTTAATTGTACTCACCCACTTAAAAGACTGTACCTGGTCTTTTAACTCGCGCTTCATCTCTTCCCCTCTTTACTGATAGCGCCCCTGTTCGTCCATTGCCACTCACCCATTAGACTCCACTCACCCATTAGACTAGTCTCTTTGCCCCTAGTATCACTCTCAGCTCCAGCTGCCCTCTATATTGAGGGTTGTTTTGAAAACACAAACCTGTGCGGGTTCAGATTTTATTATCTGCAATGCTGTGCATGGTACTTCCCAGTTTGGCTGGTGCAAAATTGATGGATGGATTTATGAACTTTTTCACTTACATATTTGTTATCTATTGCACCTCATGTCTTTATGGTAAAGTCCAAGTCATTTGCTTAATTAGTAAGTCAGTACAGTTAAAGATGTGGTTGTTTGGGCCTCCCCTGGTGGCGCAGCGGTTGAGCGCTGGGCTGCGAAGCTGCCTGCAGCCTCTGCAGCGCCGGTTTGATCCCCGGCCCGGCGAGGGGGCGAGGGTCCCACATGGCGTGTAGGCCTCTCCTGCCACGCTCGTTGCTCCCCTCAGCGGTGTATTTCTTCAGTCTGCCTGTTCTGCTCACCACTCTGGTGAATTCTCTCACCCTCCGGCGCTTCTGACAATGCCCAGTGCTTGTATAAATAAATAAATAAATCTTTAAAAAAAATGTGGTTTAATGCAGAATGAGTATGTTTATGGTGGTGGGAGGAATAGAATCGGGAGGATATCTACTGCAACAGAATCAGAAGTAGCAGAAGTTTACACCTTTTCAGCCACAGTTTTTCTCTTGGTAGTTCCAATTCTGTTATGTCTATTCTCCTTGTTGTTAATCTCTACTTTGCCACTAATGGGAAGTATGACTTATGAGGTGCTCATAATAAAAAGTAAAATTCAGAAATTTATAATCCTTTTAAAATGTATTTGATCTCCAATCTTTTGTGCATATGCTTGCTGTAATGATCCATTGGCGATTACGTTTTCTTCTCGAACATTTTTTATTGATGATCTGCTCTTTGCCACCCTTCCTGTTTCTGATGAAGTTTGCTTATGAGGGAGAAATGATGTGCTCCTTAATTCTGTTTTTTTTTAACTGTACATAACCAATATTGAAAACCATGAAGAGCTTTATGAATGTATTGAAAATACAGAGGAGCTTTTCCTTTTCTGTGTTTTCCAGAGATTTAAAAAATATTTTTCTTTGCACCTGTTGTTTTTAGTCCATTAGAAGAAACCATCTTACTATTTTAATTTGTGTCTAACACAACCATCATATGTAATTTGAAAAATTCATTATCATTAAATTGCAAAGTGATTCCTATTTTAAAAGGTAAAATCCATCAGTTACTGTTCCTCAGGTTACCATGGCAACCAAACAGCAAACTGCAAATCCCAGTCCAAGCACAGCAAATAAAAACCACACTGTTCAGGTAGTGCTGTCTTCTGTGACTCTTCACATTTATTGTAAGAAGCTTACCACATTTACCTTTGTGCTCGTCCCCTCAATTTTACGTGAAAAACTGCCTTTTTCCAGTCGTAAATTCTGAAAGCGGTCAGCTGATGTCTGAGTGCCTGCTAACTGCGAGATCATGTATATTGCATTAGTGAAAACATTGCCTGAAAGGGTATTTAATGTTTGAAAATCCATAAATGATGCTTAATCTTTTCTATAATAAATAAACTGTTGCTCAGGCATTGAGCAGGGAAAGAGGGTGGATGAGAGAGAAAAAGTGTTGGGAATAGAACAGCTGTAGTGTGCCAGGAAATTTTAAATCAGTGAAATTTGAAACTAGTATACATTAACTCTTGCTATTAAATAATTTGAGAAACATGATTGCTTTTTAAGTTTTGACTTCTGTAAGAATCATTCAGTTATTTGTAAACCAGATGTTAGTATTGCATAATTGTGAATGTAATGCTAATAGTCTCCAAAGGTATTTGTTTAGGTTGAGTGTCCTTTGGGTGTTAATAAACCTTTTTAAATGGTATTTGATTTATCGTTATAAATTACGTTTCTCATTGCGTCCAGAATATGATAAAGTCCAATAGGAATTCTTCTTACACTTTAAATGTGCTTATGACATCTTATTAAAAAAAGATTCTGGTCCACTTGCTGAAGGGTGGGATCTGGGGTCTGGATAAATCCTCTATGTTCTCAGGAGATGATGATGCTACTTGCTGGTCCTTGGACCACACTTTGAGTATCAGGAGACAGCAGGTCCTTGTATGGTCAGCTTCTCGGCGGCTGTGACCGTTGCTTCTAGCTATGTCTTATAATTCATGGGAGTGAGTCCTGGACTTGTTACTGTGTCTCCCACAACAGTAGTTACAGAGGGTGATCCAGGAACCCATGAAACTCTTTCAAAGGGTTTATATGATCAAAACTTTTCATAATAGTAAGATGTTATTTGCCCTTTTCACTCCATTCACTCTTGAGGGTACAATGGAGTTCTGCAGCGATTATGAGATATGGTGATGTCATTGTTCTGATGTTTGTTGCGATTTGAACTGGTGTGTTCTGATTTGAAAATCTTCTTGGCTTTAATTTATAATGTGGTAGATAAAAACAAAAGCTCTTTGAGGTTCTTAGTGAATTTTAAAAAGCCAGAAACCACTGTCCTAATGGACCATGGGCAGGACATGGAGAACCTCAGCTCTAGAACTTTACCAGAGCTCTTTCCTTGGCAGCAGTTCTGCTGGGTGGGGTTGGGAGGGCCAGTCCCCCCATGGTCTTTATGGACAATGCAGTGGGGGAGGGGCCTCCTTACCTCTAGGCAGTATGCCTCTTGATTACATTTAAGGGGAAGGGGGTTAAGTAGCACCCTATTATTCCCTGCTGGGGTTGGATGTCTGGGCTCTCAAGGTAATCTCCCCTATACCATTTATCACAGCTCCCTACTAGACCTACATGCCTTCTCTGACACTTGAGCTGGTGGGTGTTGCCATGCCTCCTTAGGGTCTGGCCAGGCTTGGAAACACAGGCTCTCCACTTGGCCTTTCCTGGCTTAGGGCTGGGATCAGGTGGGGCCAGGTTTTCTCAGTGGTGTTTGGCTAGGGTAGAATGATTATTGCTAGAGGTGTGGTGGTTTTGTTGTTGTTTTTTTTCTGGTGGTAGCAGGGGTGGGTCTTGTTAGGCTGTCCTTTTCCAGGCTCTCTGGCTAGATAAAGTTTCAAACTTTCATTTAGTTTCCCCCCACACCCCCAACCCTGTACCTGTGACTGTTTCCCCAGATGCTGCCTTCTTCAGCTTCTGGGTTATTTGAGGCGAAGCAGGGAAATTCGTGCTGTGTCACTCCTCAAGTCCTGAGTTCCCTAGCTGGTCTGATTCTCTTTCAGGGTCTTAGATTTGTTTTACATTTAATTTCTAGGATTTTAGTTTTATTAAGCAGGAGGAATAGCTACATCTTCTAAGAGGAAGTGGAAGTCTCTGGTTGCTTAATTTTGTACCGTGGAAGAATTAAAGACAACTCTAACACACTGCATTTCACCTATATTTCATTGTATAAAAGGGTATGAATAAGTATTAAAATATTTCCACTAAAGGAAACCTAGATTTAATAAATCCATACTCATTTTTGGGAAAATTGTTTAAAAATAGTTTTCAAATTAAATCAATTGAATTTGCATGAAAGAGTCATAACTACAGATGAGGATTTTAGAAAACAAGGTAATTGTGTATAGTTTGAAGCTTTTTTTTTTTGAGATTCAAACTTATTTGTTTTATTTTACTTATTTTTTTTATTATTTATTTAAACAATATTTGCCTCCCCCCACCGCCTCAGATTGAGTCCCCATAGAATTTCCTTGCCCAAGGCACCCGTGCACCATTACCAAGTTTAAAGCTTCAAATTATCAATGTGTTGGAAAATAAAATTACGGAAAAGTTGGTTCAAGAATACACACTAGAACTATAAAAACCAGCATACAAGAAAGAAGTGGAAGTGATTTCTAAATTAACTTTAAAATTGTCACCACTCTTCTAATAGCTTTATGCTTAGTTCTTCCTCACTTTTAAGAATCATTTTAAATGTCATACCATTGAAGTGATTTTAAGAGCATTAAAAAGATAGGAAAACTATTCATTTCACGTAATGAAGCATACATTGTCACAGTAACAAAACCTGAAAAGCTCTTCAAAGAAGTTCCTTCAAAGTACACATATATTTAGTATTTCTGCAAAATTGGTTCTGTCATTTGGAAAGCAGTGGATTAAAAAATTAAATACTCTGACTTTCTCCCTTGCCCTCCCTTTCTGGTTCTCCTGTTTCCCTACTGCTTCATACTCTGTGGAGCTCCTCTCCACTGGCCTCCCAGCACACACGCAAGACTGGTTTCCTGGCCCTGTGTGCAAGCCATTGGACACGGCTCTCATCCCTTCTGGTGAGAACTGGGTAGAATCTTTCCTACTTAATGAGAGAGAAAAATCTCTATCTGCTGCTACCTTCAGTGAGTTGAGACTAGAAGTAGTCCTCGTATTCTTGTATCCTAGAAATTTTAGATCACGTATACTAGGAATTTTTTCCCATTTCTGCGGTCGTTAGATTATAAGTGTATTTCACAGAGAAGAATGAAAGCAGCAGAGTAGTCATAATTGCATTTCAGTCATAGGTTGTCCGTTTTCACCTAAGGTTCATTATTTATATGTTTAGAAAATCTTGTGTAATTTAAAAAATATTAACTTTTTAACTATGCATTTTTAGTACATTGGTTAAAAAAACAATGTGAACTGTTTCCTTAGGGGACAGTTAAGGGAAACCACTGTTGCTTGGCAAAACTGCTTCAGAATATGCTTTGAGAAAATAAGTTTTATCTGATTTGCTATTAACTTATAAATTATATGATTGCTCTGTAATAATTTTGAAGACATTATGCATTCTCTCCATCCTCTAGGAAACTAGAACTATTTTGACAGATAAAAATCTCTGACCTCTTGTAAGTTTAGGAATCAACACATTTAAGTAGGCTCTTGGCAGTAAAAGCTGGGTCATGAATATCTCTAAAGTAAAATCAACTACTGTGGTATGTACTGATGGATTTTTTTTTTTTTTTTAGATTTATTTACTTATTTATACAAGAACTGGAGTCCAGGCCAGATGCGCGGGAGGGTGAAAGGATTCACTAGAGACAGAGCGGGGAGCAGAACAGGCAGAGTGATGAAATACACTGCTGAGGGGAGCAGCGGGAGAGACAGGGGAGGTTTGCTCGCCATGTGGGACCCTTGCCGGCCGGCCTGCCAGCCAGCCGCAATCAAACCCACACTGCAGAGGCTGTGGACAGCTTCACAGTGCTGCGCTCAACTGCCTGCGCCACCAGGGAGGCCTAAGATTTTTTTTTTTAAACACAAGTTTATTACCATTTATTTCTGTCTAAAGGCAATCTTACCCAAGTCTCACAGAGCTAAAATAAATGACAGCAGAGCTGTGTTACTTTCTGGGGCCTCCGCTAGAGAATCTGTTTCCTGGCCTTTCAGCCTCTAGTGGAACCAACAGCCTCTGGCTTGTGGCCCCTTCCACCAGGCAAATGATAGTTTTAATTTTTTTTCTTTTAAGTTAAAATGAATGGACATGTACTTACAACTTCAAACATTATGGATTTATTTTAAGTTTAAATGTAGAACAGAAATGTGGTTGCTGCACTTCTCATTGTCACTTTAAATTTGTTCAGACCTGATGGCCAAGAGAAAGGAAGAAAATTTCTTCTCTCCTGAAAATGCAAAAAGACCAAGATTAGAAGACTTGGAGGATTTTGATGAAGATGAATGTACAGTTTCCTTCACTAATGGCACTTCCACTTTGGTAAGAGCAAGAGTATAAAGTTCTGTTTTCGATTGGCATGTTCTCGTGTTTGGTTTATGCCATGTTTGGGGTAATATCAGTGAAAACAAAGCAAGGTTCAAGAATCTGAGGTAAAATAACTTTTGAAGTTTATGTTAATTGATAGAAATATTTGTAGAGAAAATAATGAAACAAAGAATGATTCTTTTGAAATACCAATAAAATCAACAGACCTCAACTAAGACTGGGAAAAAAGAAAGAAGACGCAAATGATCTATGATAGCCTATATGTGGAAACAGCCTCAGTGCCCAAGGTCAGATGAGTGGAGTAGGAAGATGTGGCGTGCACAGACACAGTGAAATACTATTCAGCTCAACAAGAAAAAGATAAAATCTTGCCATTTGGGACTACATGGATGGAACTGGAGAGGATTATGCTATGCAAAATAAGTCAGAAGGAGAAAGACAGCTATTGGATGATTTCACTCATATGGTATATAAAGAAACAAAGCAAAGGAACAGACAAAAACAAACGCCTGAAATCCTGACTGCAGAACTGAGGCTACCGGAAAGGTGGGGAGGGAATGGGAACAGAGTAAAGAGGTGGTCCACTGGATTATGGTAGAGGATTTTGGGGCTTTGGAGGTAGGTGTAATAGGATAGCAAACATCTGTAGACTTTTGAATCTGTACCCCTAAAATATATATAGTGGTGTAAACCAGCTTTACCTCAATAAACATTAAAAAAGAAGACACAAATTCCCAGAATCAGGAATGAAGCAGTGGCCCTACAAACATCAAAAGAATATTAAGGGAATACTGTTAATAATTCTATGCACATAAATTTGACAACAATGTAGTAGACCAATTCCTTAAAAACTCAGACTATCATAATTCACCCAATATGAAAAAAATAATTTGAATTACTCTACAACTATTAGGGAAATTTGTCATTTGAAAACTCTTAAAAAAAAAATTATCTTCAGGCCCAGTTGGTTTGATTGGAGAATTGTGCCAAATGTTTAAAGAATTATTACATGATTCTACACAATCTTTCCCAAAAAACACAAAAGGAGGGAACACTTTTCTAATTCATTACTTTGATACCAAAACCAGACAGAGTGGGTCCACTATACCTCATAAACGTGGGTGCAGAACTTCTTAATACAGTATTAACAAATTGAATTCAGCAATATATACAAGAAACTGTATACCATAATTAACTGAGGTTTATTCTAGGCTTGCAAGCCTGGTGCAATATGTGAAAATTAGTAATTGACTGTTTTAAGAGACCAAAGAAGGAAAATCACATTATCATGTCACTGGAAGGTGAAAAACTTAGGACAAAACTCATTATCCACTTATGATTAAAATTCCCAGAAAAGTAGAAATAGAGAACTTCCTCAACATAAGACCAGAAAACTAGCTATTAATGTTATACTTAATGGTGAAACATTGAATGTCTTTTCCTAAGATCCATGTACAAGAATGCCTGTTCACTCTTATTTAACTTGGTGCTGGCAGATCTAGCCGGTGTATAAAACAAAAGAAAACAAAAACTGTATAGGTTGGAAAAGAAAAGATAAAACTAGCTATTTGCAGATGACTCGATTATCTACATGCAAAACCTCTAGGAATCTACGGGGGAAAAAAACAAAACAAAACAACAAAACTTAGAATAAAAGCTTTCAACAAGGTTGTAAGAGATAAGAATTTTTTTTTTTTTCCCAAAAGGTCAGTTGTTACATACTAGCATTGAACACAAGTACATTGAACTTCAAAATATAATACCATTGCCATTTGCTAAAAAACCATTAGGTCTAAATCTGACAAAATACATAGAGAACTTGGATGCTGAAAACTATGTAGTACTGATAAAAGGAATCTAATAAGACTTAAATAAATGGAGAGACACTCTGTACTGATATATTGGAATATTCAATATAAAAAAGATATCAGATCTTTCTTGCAGTGATACACAGATTTGATGCAACACTTATCAAAATGCTAGCAAGAAAACTTTATAGATACAAATTTATTCAAAAATTTATATGAAGAGGCAATGGAAATAGAATAGTTAAAACAATTTTAAAAAGAAGAAAGTAAGTTCAGCAATCAGTCTTCCCATTTTCAAGACTTACATACTTATAGTAATCAAGACCATATAGTACTGGCAAAGCGAAAGCTCAGTGGTACAGTAGAAGGAAATGTGGAAATGGTCCCCCACAAATCATGACAAACTTATTTCTGACAAAGGTGCAAGGCATTTCACAGATCCTTTTAAACAAATGGTGCTGGAGCAATAGGATATCTATAGGCTAAAAAATGTACCTCAACCTAAGTTTCATACCTTATACAAAAATTAACTCAAAATTGGGTAACAGACTTAACTGAAGATATATGACCATAAGACTTCCAGAAATAAGCCAGAGATCTTTGGGATCGAGGGCCAGGCAAGGAATTGTTTGACTCGACACCAGATGCTCTAGCCTGAAAATGGAAAACTGATAAATTGGACCACATCAAAATTAAAAACTTTTCTTCCACAAAGACCCTATTAAAAGGATGACACGGTTAAATCGCAGATGGGGAGAAAATGTTTATAAAAATCACATATCTGACAGAGTACTCGTATCTTGGTATACAGAGAACTCTCAGAACTCAGGTGAATCCAATATCCTAAACACTGGCAGAATGATTATTTTTCAAGAAACTTCATTTCTCCAATGGTTCTCAACCAGAAGGGATTTTACTCTTCCCCCTGAATATTTAGCCATGTTTGGATATATTTTTGGTTGTCACTGGGGAGGGGAGATGTCTGTATGTATGCTAGAGATGATGTTAAATATCCATCCCACAATGTGCAGACTTCCCCCTCCCACGGCAGAAAATTATGTGACTCACAGTGTTAGCATTGTTTCTGTTACGAGCCATGTGATACCTGCTAGGGAGTGCAAGTCAAAACCACAATGAGCTATTACCTCACACCTGTTAGAAAGGCAAGAAACAACACGTGAGGTCCTGGGGAAAAGGGGGCCTTCCTATGCTGTCAGCGGGGATGTAAAAGGATGCCCCCATTTTACATTTACAAGGCGGTGTGGTGATTTCTCATAAAACTAAGACTAGAGATGCCATATATCCAGCTGTCCCATTTCTGGGTATTTGAAGAACACAAGAAGACCATATATGTAGGTGCTCCCCTATATTCATTGCAGCATTATTTGTAATAGCAAGATAGGGAAACAATCTAAGTATCCAATGGTAGATGAATGGATCAAAAATGTGGTATGTATATGCAGTAGAATATTACTCAGCTAGTAGTAGTATGAAATCTTGTCACTGTGACAACATGGATGGACCTAGAGGCGTAAGTGGTGTAAGTCAGATGGGAATGATAGATACCATATGCCTTCACATTATGTGGAATACAAAGAAACAGCAAAGGAAGAAACAAAAGAAAATAAAGACAAATCCTTAGATACGGAAAACAGACTGGTGGTTAGCAGAGAAGAGAGCGAGTTGGGAGGTGGGTGAAATGGGTAAAGGTGATGGATGGAAACGAGGCTTTTTATGACAATCGTGATGTAGTGTTTGTAGATGTAGAGTCACAGTGCTGTGCTCCTGCTTTTATATAGTACTATAAACCAATTTTACCTTAGTAAAAATTTATTAAAAAAAAAAAAGAAACCATGTAATAGCCTAGATCCTTTACAGACTCAAAAGCAAGTGGCCATTCATGTAATATTCCCAATTTTTTTAATCTTACTCATTGATTTTGAAATTAACATTTACTTTCTGTAGTTTTCTTCATTGGTAAACTGCTGATCTTTCTGCCAGCAAATGCTTGGGTGATTATAGTGTGTGAATTTGACAGATTGATTGTTTTCTTCCATTGTTTTTTATTAACAGACTGCAGCAGAAGTTGGAATAATTGAGAGTATTCAGCTAAGAAATTTCATGTGTCATTCCATGCTTGGACCCTTTAAATTTGGTTCTAATGTCAACTTTGTCGTTGGCAACAATGGAAGTGAGTATTTGAGAATTGCTGACAATGAGCAGTACTTTGTTTATAGAGGCATGCTTATTTATTTGTTTGCTGGTTTGTTTGTTTGTTTTGTTTATACATGCACTGGGTACAGTCAGAAGCGCGGGAGGATGAGAGAATTCACCAGAGCCAGAGCGGGGAGCAGAGCAGGCAGAAGGACCGAAGTACACTGCTGAGGGGAGCAGCGGGCGGCAGGAGAGGTCTGCACGCCATGTGGGACCCTCCTCTGGTGGCCGGGGAGCAGCCGGGGATCGAACCGGCGCCGCAGAGGCCGCGGGCAGCTTCGCAACCCAGCGCTCAACCGCTGCGCCACCGGGGAGGCCCAGCAGTACTTTGATTTTAAAATGCATTAACTTTTGAAATAGATGACAGTGCTGATGAATCTAAGTTTCACCTCAACAACTTACAACCATGAAGCTGCCAGTTTGCAGTTTAAGAAAATGAGTTAACTCTACATTCATTATTTGTGCAAGCAGGGTAAACATTTTCTACTTATTCTTTGGAATAAAGCATTACCTTGCAGGTCACAACCATAGAAAAGTAGACACACTAGCCACACGGGGGTTGACACACCTGTGTCTTACCACTTTTAAGTGCTGTAGTAGAGCATAAAGAGCCATAGGAATCCAGCCATGAAGGGAACTAATCCTCGCTGTTGTGGCCAGTGAAAGCTCTAAAACAGGAGGTAGTTGTGCTGGTATTTAAATGAAATTTTAGATTTTCTGGTTCTGATTAGGGAAGAAGAAACTTAGGTGTCACAGGTAAAGAGTGCTCTTCTGCAAAGGTTTGAGAGATAGAAGCAGACATGTAGAGAGCAGCCTCAGAGGGTGTTGCAGTGGACATGCTGCGGAGGTGCAGAAGCTGTCACAGGGGAGTCAGGTTGTAGGTGATAACATTGAGTATCTTGTATGCCGTGATAGAGATTTGGGGATTTTATTCAGAAGTTAGAAGGGAACCATTTAAATTTTTTGAGTGAAGGAATGGCACGGTCAGTATTTTTTAAGCAAACTGATTACATTGTGGAGAAAGGACCAGATAGGCAGCTTTTGTGGTAGGCCAGCCAGGCCGGAGGTGTTGCCGCTTGACTGCTTGACTGATGGTGCACAGGGAGAGGAGGCTGGCCCTGGTCTACCGCTGGTGACAGTGCTAGGACATGAAACCAGGTGTGTGTCGCTCCACGGTATGCGTAGTAGTTGCTCTTTGTTTTCCCCATTCTGTTATTTAGTCAAGAGGAAAATGTTTTTCCAGAGGATGGATAAAAGGGTCAGTGCCACAGGGAGTCACGTGGAACAGACACAATGGGCTGGTTGCTCTGCATTTAGGTCTTTTTTTTTCTCTTTAACTTTTGTAACTGAGTTTGCTGATAAAACTTTAAAAGTAATGTGGGGGAGTCATGAACATGGTAAAGAAGAAAAATGAGAAGTAGAATAGGGATTTGAACGGAAATCAATTGGGCTGTCGGGTGTGTTGGTTCAGCTGGGGTATGCTTGGAAGATCATGAACTGGTAAGAGCTGACTGAGTTGGCTGATCATAGAGATGAGAAAATGGTGACCATATTTTGGGTAGTTGTTAGAGATTTTGGAATTTCAGCTTGTGATATCTTCTGCCCCTTAGGGAAGACAAAGTACACTTTTCAAAGAGCTAGAAAATGAATATTCAGAGTAGTGATGATAATTGACACAATGTTATATAAGATATTTGATTTTGGTTACTTTGTCATCTTTAAGTTAATTCATTCAACAAATATGTGAGTGCCTGTTAACGGTCTGATTTTGAAGTTGAGGCATTGACTGAAACACAGCATTCATGGTCTGTGGAGCTTGCCCTGGAGAGTTAAAAATAGATTTTGACTTCTGAGAATTTATGAGAAAACCAAATTGTAATTACATTAGACTATAATAAAATTAGTTGAATTAAGTGTATATGTAAGTAGATAAATTCATTCAATAGGCTAATGGATCAAGATAATACAGTGAGAGTTTTAGACTGGGAAGATGTCAGCTATTTCTTCCATTTCCGTATTAGTGGCACACATTTGATTCCTGAAATGTACTAATTTTTTTCTAAAAGCATTGGATAATTATTTCATGATATGTACAACTTTAAGTTTGCTGCTTTGGCACTGGAAGAAAATTATAATTGAGTTATAACATTATTTCAGGGTTAGACTAATTTTACATTTTCATTTAGAAATCTTTCTACCTGAAATTGTGGAAGTCAGCCTTTTCTCTCTAATGATGGTGATTTCTTCAACCTGTTTCTTTAGGTGGGAAGAGTGCAGTACTCACAGCTCTCATAGTTGGTCTTGGTGGAAAAGCAGTTGCTACTAATAGAGGATCGTCTCTAAAAGGTTTTGTGAAAGATGGCCAAAAGTAAGTGTTTACTTCCTATATGTGTTTTTCAATTCTTCAGTCAGAGACAAGCACTTTAGATGCCCAGTGTGTGCAAATATTGCGGGAAGTGAATTGGCCCCGGGGCCTGGAGCATATGTGTCATTGCTTTCCATTGCTTTCGCCTGCCCCTTGTTGCCAGCTCGGCCCACTGTTCTTGTTATCCTCTCCAGACAGGCGGCTTGTGTAATTGTTGCCTGTGCCTGCCCACTGATACTCTCGCATCTCTTACCTTTCTAGGAGAAGGCCAGTGATAAGTCTGTGTACTTCCATTTAAAGGAATATTTATAAACATTGTATTTTTAACTTCTTCAAAGCCTTATCAGGTCTTCTGCAGTATGCTCTGGGCAAAAATATAGTGAGTGGCCAGGCAAGGTGTCCCTGCACAGCATTCCTGCCTCCAGCATTCTTTAGAATTCCAAAGAAGTATTCCTCTCTCTGACTCCGATTTTATACCCTCTACCAGGTGGTTTGCCAGTGAGTTTGTTTTGCGCACCACAATCCCAAGTCTGTTTGTGGTCCGTCTTGACCCCTGGGAATGGACATCTATCTGCCCTCTTTATCTTTACTTTTGCGTTTCTTTTTGTTGTCTCTTGCCTTCACATAACTACATATTGTCCAGTTTGCATTATATAGACTCATGGCCTTTTCCCATTAACACCTATCTTTTCAGGCTGATTCTTTGTTATTTTTTAATACCACTCCACATAACTTTGAAGGGATTTTTGTTTCTAGTAACTAGATGTTCTAAACTCCATCATGCTTGCTCCAGTGTGAGGCTGCACCCACTGCTCATTTCTCCCAAATGCCAAGAGCCCAGAACGTCACCAACTCTGATAATTTACAGTGATGTCTTCTTTTTTTTCTCATATAATAGACTTTCCTTCTGCTCAGTGTCATAGAGTCATTTGACTCTTCCTTATTTTATTACTAAAATAATTAGTGACTGACCATGAATCAGGACTTCAGGCTTATATAACTCTCAGAATCCTTAGGAATCATAACCCTCAGCCGGGGTTCCAAGTTAACTCAGGAGGAGGACTCAGAAATATGCACAGAAAATTATTTCCCATGCTACATGACCTTGCAAAGAACTATTTGGTAACAATTCTGCAGCTATTTCCTGGCTCTGCTTATATTTGGGCCCCAGCCCAGCAAGGTCTTCTCCCCCAGTCCCCAACCAAAATTATGTCTGTAGCCAAAATTAGTTAGTTTAGTCTTTTTTTCTAACGTCTTTTTTTTTTTTTCTCCATGGAGGATCTGGGAAATAGGACAGAGGTGCGGGGGGTGAGGATTCATCAGAGACAGAGCGGGGGGCAGAACAGGTAGATCTACTGAAATACACTGCTGAGGGGAGCAGTGGGCAAGACAGGAGAGTGTGCTGTGGGTCAGCTCCTTGGCTGGGGATCAGACTTGTGCTGCAGCTTTGATAGTGCCGAGACTTAACCCCTACACCACCAGGGAGGCCCAGTTTAGTCATTTTAAGTTAATGATCTTAACTCTGTGTGAGTTTCTCATACTTAACTGCCTATTCCTTAGTTGTCTTAAACAGTCATCTGGTCTGCCTAGCTACATAACACATTGATCTTTTAAATATCTTAGTCTCAAATAAATACTTTTATTTTCCACTAGATTAGTACCTGAAAGCACAAATTTCTCTCTGAAACTTGTCCTCAGAATACCTTTACAAAGAAAAGACCAACTTAAATCAACAACTTTGCGAGCACTGCTGCATATAGATGGGAACATGAATATATTTTAAACAGAGATAATAACAGTTAGGCTCAATCTTTTAACTAACCTTATCTGAAAAAGTATAAACAGCTTTTCCTAACTCATTACTGTTCCTCTTATTATTTCCTGCCTTACTTAAAGCACTTGATATTTATAAAATTCTTTTCATTTTATAGTCTCTGATTCTGTCATCACTGTTTTACAGAATCAGCTCATTGAGCCTTTCAGTTAATTACATCCCCCCTATTTGTGACAGGTGGATTTTTGATCCCCTTTTGGGGATGAGAGGGGAGTTTCAGATCTTGGAGATGATTTCCTAATTTGGTGAGAGAACTGTGGCTTGGGGCCCTTTACCTGTTGGTTATCCACCAGCCCTTTGCAGTGTTTCTGTGATGATGAATGACTTCTAATATTTCTACTGTTATGAAAACCTTTCTCAGTGACCCACAGTCTCATGCTCCCTGCTGTTCATGCTCCCTGCTTAAACACACTCATGCACTCTTCCCTCCCTTGTCTTTCCCAAAACTAGTATTGGTGATGGGGTCTTAGCACCAGCCCACATCAGCTGAGGCCTTGAAAGAGTGGATTAGGGAGGGATGAAAACTCATGTTGCTTCTGTATGTTCCTGATTTATTTAGCTAAGGCTACAGAACTTAACTGCAGATGAACTGGTCTCCCAGAGAAGGAGCAGATTTGCATCATATTTTTACAAGGCATTTTATATTCCTTGCCCCTCATTCCCGTTAGTGTCATTTCCATCTGGCACATAGGTTCTTCCTGAGTGAAGAAAGAAGCCACATTCTCTTGTGGATCTACTTGTTTGTCATTCTGCAAGAACTTTCTCCATAGTCTCTCTTCACTTGAGGGCTTCAGCGTCAGCCGCAGAAGTGAGAGGTGGGGAGACAATAGTGAGCGCCCAGCTCCGTTATGTCTGACTACCTGAGCCGGACTTCTCAACAGTTATTATTATAAGACTTTTTTTCTTAAACCTTAAGTTTTTGAGTAACTTTCCTTTCTTAACTTATTAAATTCTTACAGCAACAGGATACTACTACCCCTGAAGGTCTCGATATACTTAGTCTAAGTGTGATAATCCAGAAAGCAAATATAATAATCATTTTACTTTTTGAATGTTTTCATGAGGTATATTTACTTAATACTAGGTAATTATATGAGTTAATGAAGTAAAATATCTTTTGTTCCATAATGTAGGCTGACTGCCCTAGCCTATCATACTTTAGTTAGTGGTTTTCAATTTGACCATTAATGAGAATCATTTTGGAAAACTTTTAAAAACCCCATTTATTATAACTTTTCAGGAGCATATATGTCTCAATTAGGTATTTCTGATTAAACACTTGCATACACGCTAACCCACTCAAGATGGCTTTGAGAAGAAGCTTTATTATAAAGATGCAAAGAAGCTGCCAGGAGGAAGTCAGCTGGGTCTCATGAGGGATGGGAATTGAGAGACCTCAGAACCAAGTTCTCCTGTCTCAGGGTCTTTCCTTTTTTGTGTCTCTTGCTTCTCCTGTGTTGTGGTCTCTAGGCCTCTCTTCCCCTCCCTGCCATTGGTCTGTGCTGCAGCTCTTCCTCTACACCTCCCCCGGCCCAGCCTCTTTATGTAATTGTGCTTGAGTTATGCTCTCCTCTCTCCCCTCCTTAAGAGGTGTGAGCTGTGTGAATGTTTCTCTCATAATCTGAAGTATGTGAGCTCTATCTTACTGTTTACCCGAGTGTGTGTTACTCGGTGTCTTTGTGCAAGCATTTATGTCTTCCCTTCTTAGTCTGTAGAACTGTGTACGTAAGGAAGTGTTCTTGTGTTCTGTCTTTAATTCACTGCCAGTTTTCTGTGGATATGTGTCTGTTGGTCTGTATTTGTGGGTATGTGTCTGTTGGTCTGTATTCCCTAAACTGTAGTTTAGGGAATCACTACTTTTCTTCTTGGTTGTGTCTTAATTTGAGTTTGTTTTAAACGTTTTGCACTTTGGAATAATTTCAGTTTTATAGAAATGTAGCAAGGGTAATGCAGTTTCCTTTGTACCCTTTGTCCTACTAAGGTACTTTCATCAAAGCTATTTAGTTATCACTGAGCGAATATTATTGACTAAATTACAGACCTTATTTGGATTTTACCAGTTCTTCTGGTTTATCATTTAGTGTCCTATTTTTATAGCTCAGTTCCTGGGGGTTAGACGGGGGGTTGATGTGGCTGCTAAGCCCTCTGTCTGCTAGGGCACTTGCGCAGGAGCGAGCATGGGCAGCGCTGAGGAGACACTTCAGTGTATCTGGTTTAGTATCAGTGACAGTGAACGTCCATCTTGGTGTTTTTTCCTCCTTTTCTGCAATGGGAACAGTTTTGGAATATGATTACAAAATCGAAAACAATTTGTTCTAGCAAAGATGTCATTTAATTACCAATTAAGGCAGTTTTATAATAAAAGATTATCTTGAAAGATAATCCTAACAGCTAGAGAAAATATTGTGTTTATGTTTAAACAATGCATTTGAAGTATGTGTTCATTAATGTCTGTCTTAACATTTTTTGGTTCTTTTACAAGTCTTATTTTAACAGAAGCTAAGAGAAGAGAAATACTGTTTTTCCCCCATAATACATTAAAATGTCTTGACTATCGACTTTAAACATCTTTAAATTTTTAACAATTCTGTTGTAATATCAACAAAGCTTTAAGGAATTTTGAGTTTAAGTTTACGTTTCTTCATATTAAATACTTTCCCTTTTTTATTGACAGTTAATTGAGAAATTAAAGTTGCCTCCTTTGATTTAATCCTCTTGGAGGATATTATTATTTCACTGTAATTCTTCATCATTCTTGAGGGCCTGCTGCCAGCATGATGCTTCATTATAAAATTCAGAGTAGCCAGGCAGTCTGCTATTGATTTCCTCTTAAAGTAAAATGTGTGACCCACATGATCTGGTACAACCAAAACATAAATGGTTTTTGTGTAAACGTGGCATTTTTATTACAAATAGAATAGTCAAGTTTTTTTTAATTAAGCTTCTCTTATTCTCAACTTTTATTTTTTTTCCTGGATGTGACGATCTTTAACATTATTCTTCAGTAACCAGTCAGCCATTAGCTTCTGGTATAAAATTAATTTTCAAATTAACCAATTACTAGGTTTTAAACACCTAGTAATTAAGTGTTCCATCATTTGACTTAGTTTGACTTTATTCTTTTAGCTCAGCAGATATCTCAATAACATTGAGGAACAGGGGTGATGATGCCTATCGAGCAAATGTGTATGGTGACTCCATAATTGTGCAACAACACATCAGCATGGATGGAAGTCGATCTTACAAACTAAAAAGTCAAACAGGTTTGCTATGAATTTCTTTCCATTTCATGTAAAATATTAGTAAAGACCCAGTTAAACAGAGTTAAGTGATTGTGCTCATAATCACTGAAAGGATATATCTTCTCTTGAAGCCTCTTAGGTTTGGTTGGATGCAAATGGGTGTACGTACACATTTATACATACATACATGTGTATACATACATATATACACATGCGTAGTTGTTTAATTGCAGGACATTCTACAGCAAAACCATGGATTAACAGAAATTGGGTCTTTGTGAAATTGGCTATGCCAGTTTCTGTTCACAGGCAGACCTTCTTTTATCCCTGTAGTTTCTCTAACACATGGAAAGAGATAGTTAACCAAAGGTGGAAAAGCACAGAAAGGAGGAGGAGGTGAACGTTAATTTACCAAAGAGAGAGATGAAAAGGAGAAGAAAACTCTGCCTGTGTGCTGCCCCCTCCTCTGTGTCCCTGGTGGTGATTAGTCTGTCTCCCCAGCCCTCAGGAGTATGTCCTCAATGCTGCCTTTCTTGATGACATAATGAAATCCGACTGGTACTTATAAGTAATTGCTCCTTTCCCCCCATGTATATTGTCCTAGAAACAGTCTGGTCATTTTATATGTTTCTCATAACTAGGCACCGTGGTTTCTACTAGGAAAGAAGAACTGATTGCAATTCTTGATCATTTTAACATACAGGTAATTGCTAAATTTGTGCTTCAGGCTGATTAATGCAACTGTTTGGTTTGTGTGTGTGTGTGATTTCATCTGTGCTGTGTAAAGAATTATAATGGCCTCGAGTAAATTTGACCACAGGAAGAATAGGTGTACCTCTTGTTAGAGAAGTTCTTTAAAACTTATTAATTCAACAATAATTTTTAATACATAACTTTAATTCAATAGAGCAATCCGTCAAAAACACCAAGTGTATAATTGGTAGTGCTAGAATTTATGTTAATAGTCTTTAAAGTTTACTGTCTGTTGTCCTAGACAGAATAGCATCATAGTTACCTAAACTCAGTGATTGGATTCTTGTAGAAAGGAAATTTATTCTAGAAGGATAAAGCATTTCTTTATGTATTTCAGATTTACTGACCAGGCTTAAGTCCTTCCTGCGAAGATATTTTAACTGAATAATTGGAAATAGGGCACATATAGACTTGTAACATTAGCCTGGAATTGTCATTAGAGATCATCTACTCCAGGCCATTTATTTCTATCTCTGTTTTATGATAGCTTCATGAATCAGTAACAAAAAATGGAAAAATTAAAGAAGTGCTGTAAGAAAAATGAACAGTATTTGTAATCATAATTCTAATTAGAAATAACCGGGCAGGACTTCTGTTTTTACCTGGTGAAAACAACTTGCCCAAAGCTACACGACAAGTTAGAGATAGTCCAGCCAAGAACCCAAGTCAGCTGCCTCCCTTGCTGGGAGCTCTGTTATCCGATGGTACCAGTTGCTTAGGGGTGCTTTATGCTTGTGCCTCCATGTAACGGCAGAATATTTAATTTTGACTATAGTTATTTATTTTAGTATCATGAAATATTGAAGCATCTTTTCTCTTCATTAAGAATTTCTAATTATTTTCTACAATTTACCCTAACGCTTTTTAACATTTAGCTAGTACTTAACCCTCTTGATGCCACCCATAGGTCAATTATTATAATTGTATTTTAGTTCATTTCTTTTTGAGGCATTAAAGTGAAATGTTTTTAATTAACCTTTTTTGTTTTTTCAGGTGGATAATCCAGTTTCTGTTTTAACACAAGAGATGAGCAAACAGTTTTTGCAGTCTAAAAATGAGGGCGACAAATACAAAGTAAATATAAAATTACCCAGAAGAATACATTTCTAGATATCTACATAGAAACATTATTCTCGCTCACATGGTCAATATTGGGTACTTTTCAAGACACCTATTTGTGAAACATAATGTCGGGATTAATTTAAGAAACTGTTAAGTAAGATGGGAGTATAATTTTCTTGGTAAATCTTTGCTTTCACATTTGGACTTAAAATTTTGGGAGATATTAGATTATTATTTTCCAAAAATTAATCTTTTAAGAAATGTAAGGATCCAAGGGAATGATTGGCCAACATATGTAGTAACTTTTAAGCCTTAAATTATTTAAAACTTACAAAGTGAACAAAGTATTCAACTATAGCTAAAACTTAACTCTGTACTTTTTTATTGTTTTAGTGTTTACTATTTTAAAAATTTAAGATGCGGGCCTCCTCGGTGGCGCGGTGGCGCAGCGGTTGAGCGCTGGGTTGCGAAGCTGCCCGCAGCCTCTGCAGCGCCCATTCGATCCCCAGCTGCTCCCCGGCCACCGGAGGAGGGTCCCACAGGGCACGCAGACCTCTCCTGCCGCCCGCTGCTCCCCTCAGCAGTGTACTTCAGTCCTTCTGCCTGCTCTGCTCCCTGCTCTGGCTCTGGCGAATTCTCTCACCCTCCCGTGCTTCTGACTGTACCCAGTGCTTGTATAAATAAATAAATAAATCTTAAAAAAAAAATAAAAATTTAAGATGTGCTGAGATAAAAAATGTGGCCGTTTTCTGTTTTCATATTTGCTTAAGGAATGGAAGAATCAGTAAAAATTTCAAAGAAGCATATTATACCAAAAAAGTGTTTTCTTTCATTGGTTTTCAGAGCTTTTGCACAGGAACATGAAGATGTGAACATATAGCAGGTTAACTAAATTTGGGGGCTGAAATAAGACATGTTTTTTTTGTGTTGATATTACTTGCTTATGTCGTGTCATTTTACATAATGTGTCTGTTTTTGGAGACTAAATTGTGTTTTTTCATAGTTTCATGGAAGTTTACAAACTCTTAATTTTGTTTTTCCTGTTGTTGATACAGTTCTTCATGAAAGCAACTCAACTTGAACAAATGAAGGAAGACTATTCATACATTATGGAAACAAAAGAAAGAACAAAAGAACAGATAAATCAAGGAGAAGAGGTTTGCCAATATTTTTCAGATCAAATTCCTGTAGTGTAGAATATAAGTCTACTTACAGTGTGGAATATAAGCTATTCCAGAAGCTCATGTCATTAGATTTAATACTCATTTGATGATTTTATTAATTATTAAGAAAAAACTTAGATTTAAAAAATTATCACTTAAATTTGAGTTTTAGAAATTAATTCCTCCTGAACCGTCCATTATCTTTGGAATGAGTGCTGTATATTCTTTGCCGAGGACATACTAATCTGGCTATAAGATAGGGAATTGAGAGTAATAGGAAACTGAATTTTGGAATTTGTTTGAAGTTGTATAGTCTTAAGCCTTTTATTCCTTTGCTCTTTGTGTAAAGACTGTTTAGCAATTTTCATAGTGCAGAAATTAGCAAAATCATTTTACTTAGTATATCAGAGAACCAAAATAATTTTTTTTCACCTAAAAGGTCATTTTCCAGCAAATATTTTTTAGCGCTTTTATTAAGCAATCTATTCAAAGAAATATACTGGTAAAAAGTTTTGCCTTTTCTGTGTTAGTAAGAAATATCTTTTTTTTTTTTTAAAGCGACTTACTGAACTCAAGCGCCAGTGTTTGGAGAAAGAAGAACGGTTTCAGAGTATTGCTGGTTTAAGTACAATGAAGACTAATTTGGAATACCTGAAGCATGAAATGGCTTGGGCAGTGGTAATTCTCATTTAGTTACTTCTCTACATGTATTTGTAGTAATATAGTATATATTTGGTTACATTTAGTCTCTTACGTGACATACAGGGTTTGGTCTATAATTTTTTAGGTAAATGAAATTGAAAAGCAATTGAATGCTATCAGAGATAATATCAAAATTGGAGAAGAACGAGCTGCTAGGCTTGACCGGAAAATGGAAGAACAGCAGGTAATTGCAGTTTCTTTAATACAGATTTATTTTGTTTAATCTTGAGATTACTGACATTAGACTATTTATGGTTACCAAAAATTGCAGTTTCAACCTCATATTTATGTACACCTGTATCACTCAGTTGATGCTAACCTGAACTTAGGGTTTCAGGAGTTGTGGTGACATGGGTCTTCTAAGAAGGGCATTGTCTGTGGATGCCATCCGCAGCCTGAGGCTATGTAGTAGTTTCATGCATGTCGACAGCCATACTTTGTCATCCAGTAGAGATGCTGGAGCATGAAGCTTTCACTCTTGGGCTCACTAAGATTTAGAACCATGAAATAACGGAGGCATCATAGTCATTGGTGCTCAATGGCATGAGGTGTGAGAATTCAGGACTGAACACGGTGCCCAGACACAGCTGTAGCACTTTCAGGGAACTGAGATGTAGGTCCCAGAACCTAGAGGCGGAGCATGTAGAGGATAAAATATTAAGTCTGTTAAGGTAAATTTCTTCTTGAGATTTAAAAGAACGCAGGTAGAAACTGTGCTTTTTAATATTTAAATAAAAAAGCCATAGGAGTCTTCCGTGTAGGCCTAAAGGTAGAAGCAAAGGCAATAAATTTCTGTTGGAACTTTTTACCATGTAGCTCTCTACAATCAACCTGTTTTTTAAAACTGCTTTATTGAGGTATAATTCAAATGCCATACATTTCACCCATTTAAAGTATACAATTTAGGGTTGATAAATTGGGTAACAGGAGTCGATATTTTGTTGTTTGCTGGAAACTAGACTTTTGGTGGTGACCAAAATGCAATACATTCCAGATTTTGAATTGTAAGGCTATAGGCCTGAAACCTATATAATGTTATGAACCGGAGATTCCTCAACCTACTAAAGACAGAGCTTCCATATGATCCAGCAATTCCACTCCTAGGTATTTACCCAAAGGACACAGAAACATTAATTCCAAAGAGCACCTGCACCCCTATGTTTATAGCAGCACTGTTTACAATAGCTAAGCTTTGGAAACAACCCAAATGCCCCAAAATAGATGACTGGATCGAGAAGATGTGGTACATATACACCATGGACTATTACTCAGCATTCAAAAAAGATAAACACATGCAATTTGCAGCAGCATGGATGGAGCTGGAAGGGATCATGCTCAGCGAAATAAGCCAGAAAGAAAAAGAAAAATACCGGATGGTCTCACTCAAAGCGGGAATCTACAAAACCTAAATAAGGGACCAGGAAAAAGAATAGCTATAGAAAGAAAAAAATCAAAATCAACAAACAATTATGAACCAGAGACACACACACTATGGGGGGTGGGGAGAAGGGATTGGGGTCAAAATAAGGGGTTACAATTGTATGGGGAATATAAAAATAAAATTTAAAAAATTAAAAAAAAAAAAAAATTCAGTGATTTTCAGTTTGTTCACAAGTATCTATAGTCACCACTATGGGATTTTCCTGCTGCATTGCCAGAGTAGAACTTCTGGCCGCCGTTTCTCCCCTTTATAACCTTGCCCCCCACCCCTACCCCCCACCTCCAGTATGACTGACTCAGTTCCTTGTGCTCTACTTAATTTAGGAGTTTTGGTTCCCAGGCTTGGTTGTCATACCTTGATTTTTCCTCTCTTCCCACCAAAACCATTTTCCTTTTAAGACTTAGGACGTCAGTCTATCAAAAGTAATGGATGTGTATGTAAAACGAACAGCAATGGTTTAGCATACATTTGTTTAGTGATCTCTGGCTTTTGTACTCCCTCTTCAGGTAGCATATGGAAGTTCAGCTCCACCTTCCTCTCACCTCAAATTTTCATTTCTAAAACAATAAATATGCTTTTCCATCTACCTCTATTGTCTTTGCTCTCATTTTTTTCTAGACCATTTTGATTAATCTTTCTAGTCTCACCTCAAATCCTACTTCTCCTTTGAAAGCATTTCTAACTTTTTCTGGCAGACTTTGAATTCTTTCTTTGTACTTCCACAATTATAAATAGATGTTAGTATAACATTATTGCGTACAAACCATTACCAGTTTGTGTATTTGTTTCTCAACTAAATTGTATTTATCTCCCTTTAATTGTTACTTGAAGACAGTTGTTAAAGTATCTTTGCATCCCCAGAGGATAACACCTTTGTTGAATAACTAAATGTTGAATTAAAATGACAGTATATTTATAAAATTCTGTTTGCTTACTTAATGTCTTAAATTTATTTAGCATCAAATTAAGTTTGTTATGGGATGTGAACTATGTGTAACTATTTTTTTAAATTTTTTATGTCTATTAAAGAAAAATAAACTATAACATTCCAATTATGTATTTTTCTTGAAGGTCCGACTTAATGAAGCAGAAAAAAAGTATAAGGACATTCAGGATAAACTGGAAAAAATTAGTGAAGAGACGAATGCACGCGCACCGGAGTGTATGGCACTTAAAGCAGATGTGACTGCTAAGAAAAGGACCTATAACGAAGCCGAGGTGAGAGATTTTCCAATCTAGAGTATTAAAAACTACATGACAGAAGTAAATACTGTTCATTTATTTTAAAAGTAGAGGTTTTATAATTAAGTAGAAATTTGTATTGCTCTCGACTTTAAAAAAATGGAATGGCTTCATGTGGCCATTTGTGCACTTCATTTTAATGTATATTTCTGCATAAATGGACTTGAATGGGTTTTTGTTTTTTTTCATTTTACTAAAATGTGTAATTATGTTAGGTTATATATAACCGTTCCCTGAATGAGTATAGAGCTTTAAAGAAAGATGATGAACAGCTTTGCAAAAGAATTGAAGAACTTAAAAAAAGGTAATGTAGTTACTTAGCAGTTTTCAGAGTTATTTCATTTAGTGATTAAATGATCTAAGTGAAATGGACTATTACATTTTTATATTATTGACAAAGGAATTTTGCTTCCTGCTTTTCGGATATTAAGTTTTCATTTCACTTTTCCATTATTATTTGCTGTTAGTACTGATCAATCTTTGGAACCTGAACGACTGGAAAGGCAAAAAAAAATATCTTGGTTAAAAGAGAGAGTAAAGGCCTTACACGATCAAGAATGCTCAGTCAATCAAGAGATCGAACAGTTTCAGCAAGCCATAGAAAAGGACAAGGAAGAGCATACCAGAATTAAGTGAGTTAATTCTCAATTAAAAATTGATAATTTTTTCAATTATTTGAAAAAAATCATGTAGTTTGCTCTTTACATTCAGAGAGAAAACAAGACTTTCTTATTTCTTCTACAGAGTAAGGAATCTTTAAAAATCATTCTCTGAAGACTCCTTATCTTTGTAGAGTTGGACAGTCTCTGGATTCTGCTGCTCCTCACTGTTGCATCATTTTTTCCCATGCTGATTTGAGGGCCTTCTGTTTTTCTCTAATAACACAGTTATTTTAAATAAAGAAATCCACTTTTGGTTTTGAAATTAGCTGGTGACTTGTTGGTATGCAGGTATTGGGAGAAAGGCTGAATGTTTTTGTATAACCATCATGTCTGTACTGGTTTTCACTTTTATTTTTTAGGAGAGAAGAATTAGATGTGAAGCAAACCCTGAGCTATCATCAGAGGCAGCTGAAGGAACTGAAAGACAGTAAAAGTGATCGCCTTAAAAGATTTGGTCCTAATGTTCCAGCTCTTCTTGAAGCAATAGATAATGCTTACAGACGTGGGCGTTTTACCCATAAACCTGTAGGCCTCTAGGTATTTATCACCATTTACTCATTGCATAACAAACATTAGAAATGAGTTTTTATTTTCAGGAAGGACCCATAGACTCTAGTTTTAAAACTTACCAACAAGCTGTGTAGTTGTATGCGGACTTTAATTTGTACATAGTTTAACAAAAAATTATAGAAGCACTTCATGATTTTCCTTTTTAAAGTATAAAGTAATCAGAAGAAAATCAGTTTAGGAAAAGGAAAAGTGATTAAAAAATTGAATAATCTGATTCTGATTTTTTTTTCCCTAAATAGAGTAAATGAAATGAACTCATTTGAATAAATTGATTAATAGGAAAATCTGATGACCTCAAGATGTAATCAAAGTAACTTTCATCACCTGAGTTTTGTGTTACCTTTATAAATGACTTTCTTAGTTTCTGTTTTAGTTGGACAAGGATATTTCTAAGTTCTCTTCAAGGGAAATTTCTAAGTTCTGGGTTATTTATATGAGAATTTAAAAAGATTAGTTGAATTCTTCCTTCCTGTCTTCTCCCTCCCAGTTGAATTCTTCTGAGGAGCTCTCTCTAGTTCTGTACATCATTACCTGAAAATGACACTAATTTTTTTGTGATCAGTACAATATTACTATATTGAGTGTTCTAAAATAATGTCTCTTTGTTTTAATGATACATACCTCTATACCATTTCAATGAATGAGGTAGTTTTTCCCCTTTAAATCTAAAATCTCAGTATTACTCGGTTCTAGAACGATTAATCAACTCTTGACTTGATTTTCCAAACACCATTCAGAGACTAGAGTGATAGAAACTTACATAGAAAGACCACTGTTAACTTACATTGCAGTGAATAGTTTTTTTTCGTAGTATTTGGTGACTTTCTCAGCGCATCTAGTGAATATGTTGAGATTTCACACTCAAAGGAGATCTATAATATCATTTAAGCTCTTTTGTGAAAATATTTTGAAGTCACTAGTGAACTGTTCTAAGGAGATTGTTAAACATTAATATTTCACGATAAGTAAGAATTGATGGGCCTTTTTATTTAAAATTTTCTTATTCAGGGAGCTTGCATTCATCTTCGGGATCCTGAGCTTGCTTTGGCCATTGAATCTTGCTTAAAGGACTTCTGCAAGCCTACTGGTGCCATAATCATGCTGATGAGTGGGTACTTCAGGAACTGATGAAAAGGTTTACTCACCAGGGACCTCAAGGCCACAGATAATAGTTTCTGAGTTCGGAATGAGATCTATGATGTGAGACACAGGTACGGCAACAGTTATCTAATACCATTTCTGGTTTGCTCACTCATGTGCAGTAGGGATTAGAACAGTGTGGTGTTAACCTTATCTGCACTGCTGTTAACCTTATCTGCACTGTAAAACGTCATCAAGATACTTTAGTTTCAATATAGGCCTAGTGGATGCATAGCGGAATGAGAGACACTCCCTGCCCTTGCAGTCCTTACAGGAGGTTTGTGGTGAGGAAGCCTGCAGGGAGATAGATGAGTGTGGCGCAGAGATTATGCTAATAAGGGAGATGGTGTAGACCTCACCACTTTGAGAGTGTGACCCTCAGTGACTCTTCTTGCCCTGGCGCGTGCCTGTGCTCCTTCCTAGGCTTCTGTGCTTCCTGCAGACTGACTGGCTGGGGTCTACACTCTCCGGACTCTCCCACCACATCTTCTCCCTCTTAACCCCGCTCCCCTCACTCCTGCTTGCATTGACTCTGCTGACATTGCTAGAGCACCCTCTCCGATTTTTGTTTTTACGTCCTGTTTAACCCTGTTGTAAAGTTATGACCCCATTTCTCCACTTCCTTTTATAGGAAAACCTGTTCACAAGAATTGTCTGTTTTAATTTCTCTCTTCCCCTTTTTCTTGCCCCAGTCAAGCTTTAAAAACTTCATCACATGCAAAGTAGCTCCTGTGAAGGCACCAACGACCTTGCTTTGCTTGATTCTGTGGTCAGTCCTTCTGGCTGACTTGACTACCTGCCACGTTTGGTGCATTGACATAGTTGGTCCTTTCATCCTTCCTGAAGTATTAGCTTATTTAATTCTCATGACAACATGTTTATAATATTCGTAGAATAGCGCCTCACGTATGGTGTTATGTAGAAGCTTGCCAGGAAATCAACTGATTACAGATAGTTTTCAAGTGTTTTCAGCAATTTTCCACTGTCTTAATATCTGTTCCTGTTCGCTCACTAAAAAATATGTACAATTAAAATTTGAGAAGTTGATCCTTACGTATTTTTCTCTTTCAGAGCTGCTTATCACCCGACTTTCCAACGGTTCTCACAGCTTTAGACATAGATAATGCAGTTTTGCAAATAGCCTAATTGACATGCGAGGCAAGAAACAGTGCTCCTAATCAAAGTAAGACCAGATGTTCACTGTTTTTTGAAATTTTTAAATTTTTAAGACTGAAGGTTATCTGAATTCCTGTTCCTTCTCTATCGTGGGGTTCCTGTTACGTTTCATTATTGTGCTTTTCCTTCGTAGGAGTATCTGTAGGTTAATACAGAGCCAGTTGGTTTTATATGCTTCCTTTATAATGTTCTGTTATCCTTAATAAAATAATTTCACAAATGGTACACAATGGCTTAATGTTTTTGTTCTTCTTGATTTGCTGCCAAATTCACTTTTTATTTACCCTTAGAGATATGTGTTACTCAATTTTTAAACAAGTAATTTACTTGATATTTTATTCATTTTTTTCTTAAGCCTTTGAGTCTGTAGACTAAATCAGTTTCTTCCTCTTGTGCGTGTATTTCTGTGTGCTTGTTAACATTCATTCATCTTATTTTTCATCGGTTGGCATAAGTTTGCTGAGGACAAAAAATTCAAACAGAAATCTGTAATCAAAACAAACATAGTACAGTGTTTTTTCTCATTAATAGACACCGAGAAGTTTCAGTGGTGTCAGCAATCCAACAGTGAATGAGTGAGAGAGTGTGTGTGTGTGTTGCAAGTTTATATTGTAATTATTTGTGGGGTTGGCTCTTTCATATTTTTAGAAGGATACTTGAAAGGAAGTTATGAAGTCCTCTGGTGAAGGTCTCCCAAGGAGGTTGACTAGACTTCAGTTAAACCTAATCCCCCTTTTATTTCTTCTGTGGCTTAAATATTCCTGGACTTTCCCTACATGATTGAGTATACTAATCTTTATGGAAATTTCTTTGCACTTCTCTTCATGGAGTAAAAGTCATTCAAAAAAATAAGATTTTATGAACTGGGCTAAAGTAAATATTTTCATGTGAAAACATACTTTAAATTGTTTTTAACTTTAGATAGAAGGCAATACTATAATCTGAAAGTAAAATATATCAGTTTGTCAAAGCAAATTTACTGTGCTTTAAAGACTCACTAGTTTTAATTCTTTGACTCTTGAAAGTTGTTTTGAAACTTTTACTTCATGGAATTATTTTATATGAATGTTTAAATAAAAATACTTTAATCATAAAGTAAATATAGGTAATACCTTGAAATTGTGGCATCAGAAATGCTTTAGAATAACTTACATGTATTTTCCATCTGTTCTCATAGAATAATTCTGTCGCTCGTACAGTAATGCAGTCCCAAAGGCCACCCAGAAATTGTAGAGAAGCTTTTACTGCTGATGGTGATCAGGTATTTGCAGGACGTTATTACTCATCGGAAAATACAAGACCTAAATTCCTAAGCAGAGATGTGGATTCTGAAATAAGGTTGGTATCCAGTGTGACCTTACTGTGTGGGTCTCTCTTCTCTTTGGAGGTCAGTTCCTTTCATGCTACTCTATTAGTAGTTTCCATGAAAAGTTGTGAGTAAGCTGAGTGTAGCATTCTAGGTTGGCTTGTTTTCCATCCTCACTTTGACACTCATATTCTGGACTGAGAAGACATGGTGTTCTTCGTCAGCATTGGGCAGCATTGACTGGCTGATTTGCCTATTTTACTACTTGTCTACAAAGTTAGGCATCTTAAGTTAAAATGTAAATCAGTGACATCACTTTGTTCATTATTTAGTTCTGCTGATTTTGCTCATCGAAGGTACAAGTGTGCTGTTTTATATTTTGGTTCAAGTTTGTGTGATGTCTTTGGCACTTTGAGTTCCGCTTTTCTAGAAAGATGAGTCAGCACAATTATTGGGCTGTCGGAAAAGGCGTGATGCATTTTTGCATAGAAAAAAAAAACATCATGACTCCTCCAGCAACTCAGTAGATTACAAATCCAGGAAATAATCTGGAGGAGGCAGCTTAAGAGGCAAAAAAACTAGTAAGTGCACGAAAGTGATTCAGAAATATGCAAAAGAATTTTTAATACCAAAAAAAAAAAATCATTTCCTAGCCAAACTAATTAAGTTGATGAATTGATGGCTTGAAACTGAATTAGTGACTTAGAAGCTTTTAATAAGAGCTTAGGACTTAAGTGAAAGAAATATGCGAGAAAATGAGTAAAAATGAGTGTTCTAAATGACATGTAAGAGAAAATAAAAATTTTGTTGAAATCGATTCAGGTAATATTGGTTATTTTTGTGATTATGAGTGGTGCATAAAGGCAAATAAACATGGGAGATATTGGAAGTTTCATCAATCTTAGAGCAGAAAAAATCAACTGAGCGGCAAACCAGTGTTGTGACACACTTTAAGTTGGCTCTGAATCTCTGACCGGCTGGGTGACAGCTCAAAATGTTTGAGTAAACCTGTGTAAAGTCACCTGCGTAATGACACATTTTTGTGTGTTGCACCATGACATTGCAATTAGGCCTTCATAATTCTTAACTGGGAAGACTGAATTATGTGATAGTCAAATGAACACAAGTGCAAATGTAAAAACATTACCCTGGTGGATGTGTCACTAGGCAGTTCACACTTTTTCTTTCAACAAAAATGCCTCGTGGGCATTTGTATTCCAGTCTTTAAAAAAGTGTGGCATTCTGGGGAAAGAGGGTAAGTATATCTCAGCATCAAATCACAATCTCAGATTCTAGCCTTTTAACAATAGGGGTTCAGATCTTATGTTTGCTGTTGATTATTTGACTTCCTTTTTAGCCAAAAGTGTTTGTATTAATAAGTAGTGGACAAAACTTTGTTTTAAAAGCTAAGTAAATTTGGGATTTTAAAAAATTGCTTCCCACATGATAAACATTACTGATTGAAAATATCCCACTTTCTCATGATATTTAAATGACTTTTTGTGACATCTGTTTTGACCTGAATGAATATGATAGTTATCTGATATTTGGGAGCTAAAAATAATCCTTACTGCTTTTTTCCTAAATACAGAAAATATAAATTTTAAAACAAAAGCAGCTCATAATCCCATTTGTCCATAGTCACTGATGACCCCTTTAAAATAATTGCAATTATGGGGCCTCCCTGGTGGCACAAGGGGTTAAGACACAACCTGTGAAGCTGTCTGCAGCCTCTGCAGCATGAGTTTGATCCCTGGCCAGGGAACACCCACATGGTGAGGCAGACCTCTCCTGACTTGCCCGCTGCTCCCCTCAGCAGTGTATTTCGTCAGTCTGCCTGTTCTGTTCCCCACACTGTCTCTGGTGAATCCTCTCACCCCCCGCATCTCTGACCTGTACCCCAGCTCTTGTGTGCATAAATAAATCTAAAAAAAATCTGAAAAAAATTAATTATAATTAAAGGCGCATGTGATGAAAACACTCTAGCAGTACAGAATGATATACAATAAAGCGTGAAATTCACTGCCCTTATCTTTCTTTCAAAAGTAAAGTAACAATTTAACACTATATATACTTCTAGAACACTTCATATACTTGTGCCATGTATGTATGATTTTTAAAATTAAGGTATAATGCACATGCCATAAAATCCACACTTTTTTAAAGTGTACAGTTATATTCACACGGGCTTGCAGCCATCACCATTAGCCAGTTCCGTGACATTTGTGCCACGCCAAGAGGAAAGCGTGCGCACCCCATTCCCCTGGCAGAGAGAAGGTGCTCCCGAGACACCGAAGTAGCCTCTGCTGTGCTAGGCCCTTCAGAGCCTGGACATCTGCCTCCTTTACCCCACACTTCTCTCCCTTGTCCTCCTCTCCTCCCCCTCCTGCACGCACAGAGCACAGCTTTACTCACCAGCTGCATGTGTTGGGCTCTGTTCGTCACCTGTGGCTGTCTGTGTTTCTTTCCACCCTCTCTGGTTGGTCCAGATGATGAGCAGCAGCGAGGGCACAGGTCCAGGGCCACTTCTGTGTACTCACGCTTCACCTTGCACTGTGCTGCAGACATGATGCAGTGTCCTGTTCGCATTGTGATGCTGTTTATTTCCAGATTTTTTTCTTTTTATTTGAGCCCTTCACGTCGTAATTCTGTTTCTATCTCTGCTTGTTACTGTGCACAAATGAAACTTGACTCCAGAAGATGACTTTTGAGAGCTCTTTATTTTCATGTTATTAATTCATAACCTGGTAGGAATTTAGAATGCTGATTTACCTGGATAGGGTTTTGCAAATACACTATTACAAATAAGCCTTTCTTTGTAAAGATCTAAAGTATTTGTAATATTGAGTAGTTTGAAATTATTTTTTAATCCTCTCTTCTCTATCAAGTGAATTGGAGAATGAGGTTGAAAATAAGAAAGCCCAGATAGTAAATCTTCAACAGCATTTGTCTGCCCTTGAAAAGGATATTAAACGCAATGAAGACTTTCTTAAGAGGTGCCAACTACATTATAAAGAGTTAAAGGTAAAAAATATACATCATTTTTTTTTTCTCAACTTACCACTTCCAGGTTAATTTAAGATCCTACCAGTCATTGAGTTAGAATTCTCAAATTTTTTGGACTCCAGCTCTTCATCTGCAGCCATAAAATAGCTTTCATTTATGTGGATTTTATCTATTAGTGTTTACATTATAAACATTAAAACAAAATTTAATATTAAAACAGTAAACTCATGCGAGTTACATTTTTATGAATAATTACTGTATTTTTCAAAGCCAGAAAGATTTAGGAATGAGCTTGACATTTTTATGTTTTTATAAATAGTATCTAATTTAAACTTTGATTTATGTGGATATATCTATCAATATTTATACTATGAAAATAGTTTTAATTAAGACTATTCGTTTATTTTAGAATGATAAACTCATGTCAGCATAAATAGAATTTTGATGAAAAAGTCATTTTTGAAAATCGAAATGTCAAAAATGACATTTTTATAAATAATGGATTTCATCTATCAGTATTTACATTAAAAATTAATAAGAGCACGCTCTTTCTCCTTTTGCTAATAAACCTGTCATTTTAAAATGTAAAAAACAAACAAAAAATTTCAGAATATTCTAAAATAATAAACTCATGTGTTCGTGTGAATAGCATTTTAATGAAAAGTATTTTTCAAAAACCAAAAATCTTTAGTAAGGAGATTGACATTTTTATATTTTTGTAAATGTCTACCTCTTGGCATAAGCTGCTGTAGTCAGTCTGTTGTGCTGGTACACATCCATCAAGAGACTTAACTTCCTATACACTCATTTGAAAATGGTGACTAACGTCTTAGTGTTGTTATGAAAATAGTTTTGACATCCTGGATCCCTCAAAGGAGTCTCAGAAGACACTGAGAGAGTAATTGCATTGTACTTGAGAACCCCCAGACTATAACTTGAGGTGGGTTTCAGAGAAATATTTTCTCTGTGGATTCAACATTGTCATCACATAAAATGGAAAGATGGGAGTATTTCATCTCTCTTGCATGGGCGTGAATTAGCGGGAAGAGTGATGTAGCGGACTTTTTGTGTCTCATTCAGTTACTCAGAAAACCTTCTTTAACAAAGAGAAAACTTTGTGGATTATTACTTTCTTTCCAGGGGGGTTTCTTTTTTTATTTGCTTTTCTGTTACTAAAATACAAATACTTTTTTTTTCAGATGAAAATAAGAAAAAGTATTTCTGAAATTCGGGAACTTGAGAACATAGAAGAACACCAGTCTGTGGATATTGCAACCTTGGTAAGATTTTTTTTTTTAATCTAAATGTCACATTAAAGGATAAAACTGTCAGATAGGCTAATGGGGTCTAATCCCAGCTTTTTTTTAATACTTTTCATTGTGGGTAATTTTTACAACTGCTGTTTTCACACACTCATAGGAAAGAAACTACCTGTTGTATGACTTCAGTTGTCTCAGTAGTTTGTCCATAGAGCATGCATGATGATTTATTTTGCCTTCTCCATGAAATAAAATTTATCAAACCTTAGTTGTGCTCTTGAGTGAACCACTTAGCAAAATGTTTCCCAGAGAATATCAGGATTAATGGATATCTTTTAGTCAGTTGTTGATCTCTTTTCATCGTTTCCTTTTTTTCTCAAGTTAATTTAATATTTTTTTTAATGTTTTATTTTTTATTAATTATTTTGGGTTCCATCCCCTCCCTCACCCCTATTTTCCCACAATTAAAAGTGTTTATGACATTCAGCTTATCTTCTTCGAGTAACAGTAAGGAGTGAGAGATGCCCAGTCTTGTAAGATGAATATGTATATTAGGTGTGTAGTCTGTACCAAGCACCGCATTTAATCCTCAGTATATAGCTGAGCAACACAGATAAGGATGCTGCACCAATGTGGCTTTGATCTAAAGAATTTGTCTTCATTTTTTATTAGTAGCCTTGTCTCTCTCTTTTTCATTTTGCTTCTTTAATTTATTTAAAAGGTATAGACTGTATTTTTACTTACTCAGCATTTGGCATATTGTCAAGCATGAGATATGTATTTATACACAGTATATTTTGAAGGAAAAGGAGAGAATTAAAATAATTTTTGATTGTAGCCTTAATAAGCACAATGCAGTTTAACCAGTCTTCTCAATATCACTCCTTATTTTTTGCCTGTTTTTTTCTACTTACCAATCATTTAGGTATGAAAATATCCAAGTCTGCTTTATATTTGTCTTTGATTTTGCTGATAGCCTGTAGTTTCTATAGGCTGTACCATTTGTACTGTTTTTAATGTGGTAATTTAATTAATTGTATATGCTCTGTAAAATGTTACTAGGAAGATGAAGCGCAAGAAATAAAATCAAAATGAAAATGGTTGAGAGAAATATGGAACAACAAAAAGAAAATATGGAACATCTTAAAAGTTTGAAAGTAGAAGCAGAAAACAGATATGATGCAATTAAGCTGAAAATTAATCAGCTTTCAGAGCAAGCAGATCCACTGAAGGTATTATATACATCATTGTTACCATGTTCTGTGTGTGCTTTGTTTTAATTTTATATCTATAATGTGCTCTCTAGAGACTGCCCTAGCAAACTTATAGCTGAATGTAAACCTCCCCCATAAAAATGAGATGTGAATCATTTTTATCATTGGTTCAATTAGAATTAAACACTTCAGCTGAAATCTTTAGGAAAATAAATTGCCAGATAAGTTTCCTCAGATTATTGCTTTTAATCCCTTTTTATTTTACGGGTTCTTCCCCTCCCTTTTTTAGAACAGGATAAGGACATCTGTCCACACTGTTCGTGAGCTTTCCTATTCTGTTTTTCCAGCTTTCCTCCAATAACTCTAGGATTAGTTGCTATAAAAACTAAACTTTACATAAAATACTATCCAAATCCTGTTTATTGGCATAACTCAAATTCCTGAATTCAGTTGCCTTTTTTTACACATGCTTTTTGAAACCAAATTTAGGGAAATAAAATTGTTTAATAATTCTATGTATTATTGTATGAATTGTAAAATTGTTTAAAAATTGTATGAATTTCTACCTTCTTTAAAAGTATAGATATCTGTAGCTTATTCTCATTATTTTTATGAATAATGCAATTATTTTCAGAACTTCAATTCTTATTTATTAAGACACTGAGAATAGTAATATTTTAAGAGGAGAGGGAAATATTGATTTCATTCTAATATACCCCTCAATTTTTACATGAAAATTAACCCAATTGAATCAAAATGTTAGATACTTTAAAAATTTAATATAATTTGCATGCATATGAACTTATATTGTTTTAATTTTAAATTGTATTATCTAAAATTTTCAGAGTTGAGAGATATTAAAGGAAGTTAGAGGAGGAGCTGCATAGAAACCACCTTTCCCTATTTATGGTGTATTTCCCAGTTGTTATCCATATAGCTGGGATTCCTGTCTGCCATTATAACCTAGGTGGTTTAATATTTTATGTTTGAGAAAAGACTAAAAAAAAGGTAAAAGACTGATAAGTTAACTATGAAGTAAAATATAAAATATTAAACTTGTGAGGAGAGAAAATAGTTACTATAGGACATAAGAATTTAAAATACAAAATGTCCAAGATTTAAAAAGACAAAAGTAGGTTTAGAAAGAGTAGCATAGAAATAAAGTGAATACGGGCCTCCCCAGTGGTGCAGTGGGTTGAGCGCAGCCCTGTGGAGCTTTCCTCAGCCTCTGCACTGTGGGTTTGAGTCCCAGCCGGCCAGGGAGATTCCCACATGGCGCAGTGGACCTCTCCTATTACACCTGCTGCTCTGTCAGCAGTGTATTTCGGTCATATGCCTATTCTGTTCCCACTCTATCTCTGGTGAATCCTCTTACCCTCCCACGCCTCTGGCCTGTACCCCAGCTCTTGTATAAAAATAAATAAATCTTAAAAAAAAAAAAGAAAGTAAATATATAATACATAATAATATTGTTAGTGATAGATACAACAGAATTTAGAACTCAAATTAGAGTGGTAAAGTTACAACAAAGATAAGAAAATATAAAATGGGTAAAGAATTGCACAGGGTATAACTTAAAATCAAAATGGAGTATGTTAAATCAATACAGAAAAAGAAAGGTTGGAACCTTAAGTGGTTATCCCAGGCAACTTAAAAACAAGAAATGATCAAGAGTATATTGTGGTCTATTCTTTTAGAGACCTCCAGACTAAAGCAACTCCTGGAATTGGGAGTCCATAAATAGATGCCAGAGCAGAAAATATGGGCCAAAAGCATTAAGAATTCTTGACTTTAGCTTTTTGCCTTGGCTGCAGATTCTGAAAGCTAGGAGTTGAGTCCTTCACTAAACCTTCTTTGCAGGGGTCCACTAGCAACAGTTTATCCTTTACCACTTCCAACTGGCCCTCAGTAACAATAGGACCCAGAGAATATGGCTCACAAAACAATGTCATTCCTGAAAAGCACCATCATGATATATTAGCGAGTTATAGAGAGTATTTGGTGTAAACTTGTAGTTGTAGAAATCGTGACATAGGGAGTATTTTTCTCTGTTAACAGTTTGTTTTGATTTACACTTGCAAACTTAATATTTAGTTGTAAATTTAACTTGTGGCACAAGGGAATGTGGCCTGCACAGAGCCAATGTTAATTTTTTTTTTTTTAGCTACAACTCTTGTATTTTTCCAATGATTGCTACACATTACAATATGCTTTATCATATTATAGACTACTTTTTTTTTAAAAAGTAATCATGAAATAGATTTTTTTTTTTTAAGATTTATTTATTTATTTATATAAGCACTGGGTACAGTCAGAAGCACGGGAGGGTGAGAGGACTCACCAGAGCCAGAGCGGGGAACAGAACAGGCAGACTGATGAAATACACTGCTGAGGGGAACAGCGGGCACGGCAAGAGAGGTCTGTCACGCCACGTGGACCCTCTACGGCGGCCGGGGATCAAATCGGCACAGCAGAGGCTGCAGACAGCTTCACAGCCCAGCACTCAGTTGCTGCGCCACCAGGAGAGGCCCTGAAATAGCTTCTTTCAATTATATTTTATGCTCAACATCATGGGGTTATACCTCTGGGAATGACTAAATAAGTCAGTATTAAAATCCTTCCCTTCCCCACACCAACCCACTTTTTTTTTTGTCAAGTCACCTTTCTAAACCAGATTTTCTCTGTCGGGTGGCACTGTAAATATTCCAAACCTCCGTTGTTTTAATTCTGTTTAGGCTAATGTGACTTCCCACAGAACTACCTTGTTCACCAGAATAAGGTTGAGAGCACTGTAATATTTGGAGGCTGCATGTAAGAACATGAATGTAATAGTGTGTCTTCTCAATTTGGGGGAAACGCCTCACTTCTATTCAGGCTCATATGGACAGGGACACACAACCAGTTTGCCTCTTCAGATTCCACTGTCCTGCCTCCTTTAGTAAATTACCAGTTCATTTTATAACTAGGCTGGTAAATTTTTGAAAGAGGTTTGTTTTGTTTTGTTTTCACTATGGGGACTACACCTGAGGGGGAGAATCCAGTTACGGTCCAAATATTAACAACAATGTAAGAAAATAAATAAATTAAAAAAAAACAAAAAACTTTTCTTTATAGCTTATTTTGTTTTACTCAAACAGGATGAATTAAATCTTGCTGATTCTGAAGTGGATAACCAAAAACGAGGGAAGCGGCATTATGAAGAAAACAAAAAGAACATTTGGACACTTTAAATAAAAAGAAACGAGAACTGGATATGAAAGAAAAAGAACTAGAGGTGAGCCATCATTTTCCCTTTCATGCTTTGTTTGCAACCTTAGTCATGATTATTAAATGCACTTTCCTTAATGTCATGTTTCCAAACATAGACAAGTTGTCTGATGAATATATATTTTGTAAAGAATAACAGCTGTTTTGGTGAATCAACAGAGGAAGAGGCGTAGGGACTCTCGAAGTGTGGAGACTTAAATAGACCGACGTGAGGAGGACTCCAGGCAGGGCTGCAGCAGTCCCTGTCATGCCTGCGTCATCTGGAAGAGGCTGCGCCTCACAGCCACGGCAAATGCCCGGCTTGGCAAGGGGGTAGCAGCCGCAGCCTTATGTCTGCAAAGCCTCCTTCCTCTGAGTAGCCGGTGCGTCGGCTAGGCTGGAATTCAGCGCCTATTTCTAGACATCCTTGTAGACAGCTGTTAAGCAGAAACCATATTTTAGAAGAAAATAAGTTGACAGCAACATTAGTCTAACTAGAAGAGCTGGATTCCAACTTTACTTTCATAAATCATAGGAAAGTGATTTGCATTCTGTAATCCATTGCCTTACTTGCTTAAGATTTTAGATATGGAATGTTACGAATATGAAATAAGTGCTATGTATAAAAGAGCCTTTGTTTTCTGATATTTACAAATATGGGGGGGGGTCTGTTACTTTAATACAATTTGGTTTTCAGAGACCATTGTGAAATACACAGAAAGCTGTGTGTGACCTTAGCACCCTGAATGCCAAATGTAACTGCAACTTGAAATTTCTTTCAATAGCGAGTTTTGGAGATCTTACAAATAGTTGTACACAGTAATGTACTTTTCTCTTGAAGATTTATAGTGCCTCTGGACACTTGTCAATACAAAGCTTACAGAAATAATGGTGTTGAGTATAATTAAAATACATTTTTAAGCATAATTAATTTCAAAATTTTACTTTGTACATTTTGGCAAAAGTAGTATAATGAATTTTTATATCAAAAAGAGTTTTAAAGCTATCAAACATATGTTATCTTAGGAGAAAATGTCACAAGCAAGACAAATCTGCCCAGAGCGGATAGAAGTAAAAAAATCTGCATCAATTCTAGATAAAGAAATTAATAGATTGAGACAAAAGATACAGGCAGAACATGCTAGTCATGGAGATCGAGAGGAAATAATGAGGTAAGTGGTTGGTGACTGTTTTATTTCCATATATATTATTAAGACATAAAAAATGTTTATCTTAAATTTGGATAAGATGGCTATAGCAGATAGGGAAAACTAAACTAGTCTTATATGTATGTTAATACTATACTTTTTCCTTCTATTGCAAAATTCTTTATGGAGTACATGTTTACATAAATGTTTTATAACCTATGAGATTCATATAAACATAAAAATAATCAGCTTCACACTTAAAGAAATGCAAATCACAGCAGTTCTTTATATATCAAGATGAAGAAAACGTATACTTCATGTTAGTGAGATTTTAATGAATTAGATATTTTTCTATTACTAGTAAAAATGGAAGTTCTAGTACAGTTAGACTACAGAATCAAAAGCAAGACTAACTCAGGTTAAATTCTAATTCTACTCTTTGTCATGTGACATTGGCAAATTACATAATCTTCTGAAACATCATTTTCTAATTACAAATGGGCATAAAGTACTTTAGCTTTTGGGGTTGTTATGAAGATTAAATGAGATAGTCCATAGTAAATAGAATATATGGAGTACTTAGTGTATTAGATGCTATGTATCCTAAGGTATGTTACAGTATGTTATTATAGCATAAGAGGCCTTCAGAAAGGCCTCTTAATAACACTTTAAGAACACCCAGTTGAACACTTTATGTCAAACACCTTCAAAAAAATTCCATTTGGTTAAGTAATTTGTTATGATTTAAAATGAAAAAAGCAATTGGTGCTTAGAAATGTGTATTATAGTGGTGTAACACTGAAAAGTTAGAAGTAGCATACAACTGCAGGATAATTAAATTACAGTAGAAAATTGTAGCTGTTATACTTTATGAAGAACTTTTCATGTTAAAAAAAATGGAAACGAGTAAGTGATCACAATTCTATTTTGGAAAACAATGGCAAGGGAAAAAAAAAGAAATCTTTCTTCAAAATAGAAAATACCTCATGTTTTAAAAATACAGTATAAAAGTGCACGCAGTGGAAAGCTTTACTTTCTCTCTGTATCCTCATCCTCTCCTTCACTTTTTCCCTTTTATCTTAATGTATTTATTAAATATACTTTTAGTGTTTGTACAAGTGCAAGTTCATGTTGAGTATATGTCATTTTTCATCCTTGCAGAGTCAAAAGGTAGCACATAATATAAACTGTTTCTTTGACTTAGTGATACCTTTTAGATTTCTTTCTATCTCAATAAATAGGCTTTTTCTCATTTTTTAATAATATACTATATTTAACCATCTCTTATTGATGGATAATTGAATTTTTATGTAATCTTTGCTATTATAAAAAAAGTGTTTATTTGCAAGGAATGAATTGGGAGAAATAGGTGGAAGGGATTAGTAAGGAAGGATACTTCTATGACTATATGTTTTGACTTTTGGGAACACTAAATTTTACATAAAATGAAATTAAATCAAGAAGGATGGGAGAAATCTAAACAAATAAAACATCTCTATTTCAAATCAGTAATTTCCACACTGGAGGAAGGAAAAAGCCTGATTCAGAGAATTTTAGAATACGGTAAATTTACGTATTACGGAAATAATTGTGAGTCCATCTTGAATGATTCTTGTGGAAATTTGTTTTTTGTAGTAGTATGGTGTGACATTCTGCAGCTGTTGTGGGACTGAATAAATGTTAATGTTGCTAAGAACCAGGTCCCTACTATAAAAGAAGGAAGACAGAAGCATGGAATAATTAGGTGAAGAAAAATAGTGGGGTTAAACTGCAGTTGCAGTTAGGGATATCAGTATGAACTCATGTTTTTAGTTCTGTTGGTAGAAAAGTTCTAGAAGAAATGTCACCCTGGTAATAATGAGAACCCAAAATTTAACTCTGTTAAAATTAAAAACAGAGGGTGATCAGCCTTGAGGATTCCCTGGGTAGAAAATCAGTTTATATACACAAATCTTCATTCAGCTTATTTCAAGGCTATCTTGGTGTAGGTGATTCTTATTTTAGCCTCTGGAGTGTGCAAGTAAAATTAAACTCTTTCTTAAGCATGATAAGCTGCCTTGTAACATCTTTTTTTGCTTGCTGTTTTGGTTTGCAGAAGTAAGCAGGTCCATATGTGTTTCTTTTCCCCTTAGTTCCACTATGGAATATTACTCCATATCAGTTAATTGAGGTCTCCCTCATTCCTGCTGCCTCATCATACTGCAGCAGGTTGGGGGACGGGAGATAGCAGTCAGCACACCATGCTTCGATACTTGTTCTGTTACTGCATTTGAGTAGTTTCCAGTATTTTAGTTAACATGTGATGTTGCAGTGAATTGCCTTATGTACGTGCATTTTGCTGTTGTTGGATAGCTGTCTTCACAGTGAATTTCCACAAGTGACTGTAATAGACTGAAGCATAGTACATAAGTGATTTTGTTGTTATATAATGCTTAATCCCCTTCTTAGTGTTTCTACCATGTTTGCTTTTTCGTCAACATTCTATGAGAAAGAATGCTTCTTTCTACCTTGCCAACATTGTAATATAGCATGTAGAGTTAAGCTTTTAATTATTGCCCATCTGATGGCTGGAAAGTGGTCTTTTAGTGTAATTTTAACTCACATTCCATCATTGTGAATGAAAATGAATATCCTTTCATATGTGTAAGGATCATTTTTTGTGCATTATGTGTTTTTGACCATTTTTCTGTAGGCTATTTAGTCTTCCTCATCCTCCACTCCCACCATTTTAAATTTTTTAAAAGATGTTTTGGGGATATTAGTCATATGAAACATTCTTTTCTTTCGTTATTTGTCATTTTTGAATTTGTTCATACTCTTTTTGCGTTTTGGCCATGAAACAATCACTTTTATTAAGCTCAATATTTCAGTCTTTAATTATATCTGGTTAGGTCATAGTTTGCCGCGGACCAGCCCAGCGGTGGCGGGAGATTGAGACAATCTCAGGGTTGATTGAGAATGAGCTAAAGGTGGTCGAAGGACTTAGGGCGAGGGACAAAAAAGAATGACACACAGACACACTCAAGGGAGAGTGAAAATCTGAGTGCAATTTATTGAAGGCAATCTTTTTTTTATACATTTTCTCTATAATTACTTTCATTGTTTTTGCACAGAATCTGGTTAATCATTATCAAAGTATACGTAATCACCGTAACACATATCATTACATATTGCTTATTATCTTTCACAAAATCATATAAATCAAGAACATTTCATACTGTTATTTTCCCTGCTGGAGGTGTGTTCTAGATCTTCTGATTCATTATTATGATTATATATTTTCTATTATTAATATCTTTTCAGCTTATATTTATTTCTATATTTGATTATTCTGTTTACTACACGCATTATAGTCTGTTTCCATGGTTACATTCCTTTATTATGAGCTTAGTTACTGGCAACATATTTAAGTGGTGCCTCAATCATTCACAGGCCTGTTTGTTCCTGTTGCTTTACACGGATGATCAGGTGGGACCAAAATCCCCTCGGGGACTGCGTCTGTCTTAGGTTGTCAGGACTCACTTCCTGATCTTACCCGTCATTGACTGTCCAGTCCAGCTCACAGGGGCAGAGAGCATTGTGCCAAGACAGCACAGCCACCCATTATTGATGCGAGATTGTGGCAATTGTAACATTGCTCTCAGGAGCCGCCACAATAGTTCAGAAGCCTTTCTCTGTACCTGGGTTAAGGAAGGCATTTACTTCTTTTTTCCCCTGGTACATTTATGTGCTCATTTTTGTTTGATCTCATTTTTTATTTGGAGCTTATGGTATGAGGAGTGGATTTTATCTTTTTTCAAAATGGCTATACACACGTTTCAAAACTTGTGTGTCCTCTTATTTCCTTAAGAATGGAAATAAGCATAATATATTTTGTGGTTTTCCATGTTCAGGCTGTTTACCTTTGGCTTTTGTATTTGAAGGGTAGCCGGATAGAAAATCATCTTTCTTGCTGACTCCTGTTTGTGGCGGTTCTCGTTCATCTCTTAAGTCCTTAACTTAGAGCGTCAGTGTGTACTTCTCCCTTGGTCTGCCTCAGACTTGTCAGTATGTAGATTTCAGTGTGAGTTCTCAAAGCTTTTCTTATATTTTTAAGTAATTTTCTGTTCTGTTGTTTAGTTTTCACTTTGGAGGTCTTCAGTTATAGAAAGTTAGCCTTTGTCTTCTCTAGTTACTTTGCCCATTTTATCTGTTTTCCTCCATTTTGTTTGCCTTTTTCATTGCTGATCTCTGTCTGTAAATGTTTGCTGTGGCTGGTGTCTGTTTGCCCCTCGTTATCTCATTTGTCTTTGTGTGTGTGTGTGTGTGTGTGTGTATGTGTAATCCCTATGCCTTGGATTCTGTAGATTCTTACTTTGCCTCCCCTTGATTGTCCCCTTCTGTTTTTACCTGTCTGTCCTCTGAGTTACTATTTATCTGTTCTTTCAGTTCTGCTTTGTGCTGTTTCTTCTTGGTAGCCACTTGTCTCATGTTTTGTTTTAATTTGTGACATTCAGTTACAGTTTTTTTTTTTAATTTATTTATTTATGTATACAAGAGCTGGGGTACAGGCCAGAGATGAGGGGGGTGAGAGGATTCACCAGAGACAAAGTGGGGAACAGAACAGGCAGACTGACTGAAATACACTGCTGAGGGGAGCAGCAGGCGAGTCAGGAGAGGTCTGCTCCTCTGTTGAGGGCTTCTCTCTGGCCGGCTGGGGATCGAACTCGTGCTGCAGAGGCTGCCGATTGCTTGATAGTGTGGTGCTTAACCCCTTGTGCCACCAGGGAGGTCCCTCAATTACAGTTTTTACCAACTTGGTGACTTTGGTCTAGTAAGTTTTCTTTGTAGGGGAGTCTTGCTGCTTTTTTTCCACCTACTTTTTCCATAAATATCTCTATATGGATGTTATATGTGTGCCTTTTTTTTTTTTTAAAGATTTATTTATACAAGAACAGGGGTACAGGCCAGAGGCTCAGGAGGGTGAGAGGATTCACCAGAGACAGAGCAGGGAGCAGAACAGGCAGACGGACTGAAGACACTGCTGAGGGGAGCAGCGGGTGAGGCAGGAAAGGTCTGCTGTGCCATGTGGGTATCTCCCTGGCCGGCCGGGAAGCAAACCCACGATGCAGAGGCTACAGACAGTTTCACAGCACTGCGCTCAACCCGCTGCGCCACTGGGGAGGCCCATGTGTGTGCCTTTTGATACTCATTTTTTTAGTTAGATTTTTCTGGACTGGACGTTTGAAGGAGAATGGGGAAAGACAAAGTAGCTTTCATATTTTGTCAGGCTCTTGTTCTGCCCTGCTCCAGCAAGGAAGTGTTGCCCTCGCTAGTGTGCTTTTGCACAGTAGCTGTGTCTTCTCTGCCTCTTTGGTCTTGTCTTGTTTTAGACTAGGGTGGAGGGACCCTAAAGCTCACCTTGTGTTCCTGTGTTCCTGCACTGGTATCTGAAACATTTCTTACCTTCCTGTGTAATCCTATCACCTTTGAAAGATACATACATTTGCTAGCCTTCTTTAAGATCTGCCACCTCGGCCCACCTGGGCACTTTCTTCAGGTTCTTTCAAGGGCTTGGACTTTGTCTTGGGCCAGCCACATACCTGTCCTTACGCAGGGCAGAACACGCTCATTCTGGCAGTGTATTTTCTTTGGAAAATTAAGAAATCTGCTGCTGAGGTTTCCCCTCAGTTTTCCTTGCTCTTCCCTGTTAAGTATATTTGGGTTTTACTTGTATTTGTGTCCTTTTGAATGGCACTTATTTATTGAATATTTTGTTCATAAAATAGGCAGTACCAAGAAGCAAGAGAAACCTATCTTGATCTGGATAACAAAGTAAGGACTTTGAAAAGGTTTATTAAATTACTGGAAGAAATAATGACCCATAGATACAAGACATACCAACAGTTTAGAAGGTAAGTGCATAAAAAGGTTGCCACATATTGTAGCTTTTTGTTTTGTTTTCACATTATCCCTTATACATAATAAAAGTAAATCAGTAGAACTTTACATGATCTGCTAAAAGAAGGAGCTGCCAGTTTGCCTTGTCAGCCAGAATTCCGGCTTTGAATGTACCTCATAGCCAGCTTATCCAAGACAAGGATGGTAGAGTTTGCATTGTGCCAGGCAGTTTCTAAGATATTCTAGGTACAAAATGATTAAGACATTGCCCTGACCCTTTCCATTAGAAAGTTGAGGGGAGACAAACAGATGAATAGACTATTTATCCATTTAGCCTAACACTATATTAGAGTTTAATCCGCTCAAGGACAAAATTTGCGTCTAGTGCATTAAGGTAAGTAATGCCTGACATAGATTAGTGGAATGATTGGTAGGAACTGACTGTAATAGTGAGATATAATGTGTTACTTATGGGAAGGCATCTTTATTTCATGTTTATTATAGGATGTATGTTTATTATAGTAGTAAGTAAGTGGTTAGAAATATAAAAGCATAGTAAACAAATCACATAAGTTCCTACCTATTGCGTGGGCAACCAGTATGAACATTTGGGCATATTTTTCTCTTACATGCTGAATATACAGTTTTTTATATTCTTTTAATGTGCCCATTTTCTTTATTTCAAGTGTTTAACTTTACGATGCAAATTATATTTTGACAACTTACTGTCTCAGCGTGCCTATTGTGAAAATGAATTTTGACCACAAGAATGAAACTCTGACTATATCAGTAAGTATCTTAACTCTGGAGTGGTAATTGTTGGAGAATTAGCTGCTGCTTTTCTTTTGATGATACATTGATAAACTTTAACCTGTTGTCTTTGAAAAACAAAAGAAACTGCTGTTTAAGTTGTAACTTCCTCCCCCTCCCCTCACATAACCACATTATTTTCTTATAATGATATTAGGGATTTTTATTTTCAGTGGTAAGTATTTATATTCTCCACTGGTCGCTTTTTTAAAAATCACAGGATTTTAAATTACGTGAAACATTATTAAAAGTTCATATTCTCTTTTAATAGGAAGCTAAGATAAGATTTCTCAAAGGATGTTATACCTCGTGTAATTGACTTTGTATTTCTTGTTTCTGAAGGTGTCCCTAAAAATCACACCTCTCTTAGATGACAAAGCTCTACCACATTCAACTTTGTAGACTTTTATGTTTGTAGATTGTTTCAGTCACATCCATTAAGGAGTATTGCATGTAACATAAAAAATGTATAGTCAGGACACCAAGGTCAACTACCTACTCTGAATATTAGAGCACAGTTTTCAATAAGTGCTACTACTCTCACTTGCCATAAATTTTATACTTCCATTTTAATACTGAGAATAAGAAATAATTGGCAGTACATATATGCAACATAATACTCACCTAAAATTTTTTAAGAATAATAAGAATGTCAGCTCATTTAAAATGGTCAGAACCTACCAAGTGAAAGCATTCACATGGTAAATAAGCACATTAAAAAGTGCTCAGTATAGTTAGTTATACCACAATAAGTTACTGTCAGACTGCTATTACTGTGACTAAAGTGAACAAGACTGATAATATCTTGGGTTGGCGAGGGTGTGGACTTAGAACTCTCATACCCTGTGGGAGTATAATTTAGTAGAACTAATTTGGGAACCTGTCTGGCAATGTCTGTGGAAACCATTTCATTCTTAAAACCCTTCAAAACTGTTAAAAAAATCATCTGATTATTAAAGTCAATTTAGTAGCTACCTTTTGAGGTAGTGACTGGAGGGAATCTCTGAGATACTAGGAATGTTCTAGGTCATGATCTGAGTAATGGTTACCTAGGTGTGGGTGTATGTATGTGCACATAGAAATCATTGAACTGAACACTGAGGCTTTGTGTTCTTCACTTTATATAAGCTCTATTCTAATAGACATGAGACAAGAAGAAAGCTTTGGGATGTTTGGGTTGTTTATGCCCAGCGCCAACATTGCAAGACAAATGAAGTCACATTTTCCGACACCATCATCCCTATGATTCAAGAGAATGTCATTGCTTTAAGAATCTTTAATTTTCTAGTGTGCCTTTTACAAATAAGGAAACTGAGGCTGAAGGCCTTCAAACTCTGCAGTTTATCTAGGACTTCATTCATTAGATTTTATAAAACTGCAGTTTTGGAGCAAAATGCTGCTTGCTGTTCAGTTCTTTTATGTGGGATTTTTTGGTTTGGTTTGGTTTGGCTTTTTAATGCCTGTGTTTATGTTGCTTTTTCATTTGGATTTTCATAGAGGATTCATACTTACGATAAATATAAAATTTCAGTTTATGTTTAAATTTAGAATTTTTCATAAAACTGGTCACTGTTTTTCATCTTATGTACGTTATTTATGTCTGGAATTCTATTGAAGTTAAATAGAATCCCTTTTAATGTTATTTCATACACTTTTTTTTTTTTTTTTTTTTTTTTTTCAGAAAACTATGAGTTTGTTGTTTCTTTAATTGCTTTTTGAGTAAAGAGGATTTTTTTTTTAAAAAGAATTTTAAATCATTACTACTGTTAATTATTGGGCCAGTGTAAACATCTTTTAATTTGGTCTTGTGTCCTTTGACATTCAGAAATACTCTTAAAGCCCTTAACCACTAGATGTCACTCCCAGTTCTGGTAACAAAAGATTATCTTGGCACTGATGCGTGTTTGATGAAAGAAATAAGGAAACCAGTCGTATTTGCAGCAGCACAAAAACAATAAAATAGTGAAGAATAAATTTAGTCAAAGAGATGAAAGATCTGTGCACTGTAAAATCTAAGGCATTTTGTTTGGTGAAAGAAATTGAAGACACAGATAAGTGGTAGGATAGCCCTATTTCATAGAGCACGAGACTCAGCATTGTTAAAGCTATCCATCAATTCACTGCAATCCCCCTCTAGATTCCAGTAGCATTGTTCACAGAAATAGAAAAAAAAAATCCTAAAATTCTTCTGAAACGTCTAAAACTCCTAATTAGCCAGAGCAATCTTGAAAAAGAACAAAGCTGGAGGAATCACACTTCCTGATTTCAAACTATATTACAAAGCTGTAGTAATCAAAACAGTGTAGTACTGTTAGAAAAACAGACATATAAATTGATGGAACAGAATTGACAGTCCAGAAATAAGCTCATGTATGTATGGTCAACTAATGTTTGACAGAGGAACCAAGAATAAACAATGGGAAAGGACAGTCTCTTCAGTAAATGACATTAGTAATGACATTCAGTAAATGACACGTGCAAAAGATTAAAACTGCACCCCTATGTTATACCACTCACAGTAATCAGCTCGAAATGGATTACAGACTTAGAAGACTTGAAAACCATAAAACTCCTAGAAGAAAACATAGAGAAGAAGCTCCTTGACATTGGTCTTGGTCATGATTTTTCATATTAGACACCAAAAGCATAAGCAGCAAAAGCAGATATAAACAAATGGAACTACATCAAACTTCTACACAGCAGAAGAAACTGTCAACAAAATGAAAAGGCTGCCTATGTAACAGAAAATATTTGTAGACCATACATCTAGTGAGTCAATAACTAAACTATATGAAAAATTCATACAAATCAACAGCAAAAAAACTAATCTTTTAAAATTGGTAAGGGGCCTGAATAGAATATTTTTCTAAGAACACATATTAATGGCATAGGAAAAGGCATTCAGTATCATTAATAATCAGGGAAATGCAAATCAGAACCCCAGGGGGAGATACCATCTGTTAAAATGGCTGTTAGCAAAATGAGGAGAGACATCCTGGTGCAGGTGATGTGGGAACTACTTAAGTATCCATTGACAGACTGCTGGATAGCTATCTGAGATAGGATCTCTAATAGAACATTATTTACCATAAAAAGGGGGGAATCTTGGAATTTGCAACAACATGGGAGAACCTTGATAACATTGTAAGTGAAAAAGTCAGGGAAAGGCAAATACTCCTGTCCTCTCACTTGTATGTGGATCTTAAAAAGCTGAAATCAGGGATGGGAAAACGGGTGAAGGTGGCCAAAGGGTGCAAGCTGTATGAAGTGAGTGAGTTTCCCCGTGTTTCCTGTTAGGAGTTACACAGGTTTAGGTCTTCTACACGGACTGTAATCCACTTCAAGTTGATTTTTTGTGAGTGGTGGAAGTTAAGGGCACAGTTTTGCTCTTGCATGTAGCTGTCTAGGTTCCCCAGTGCCGTTTAAGAGAGTGCACTTTCCCCATTGTCTGTTCATGGCTTCTTTGTCAAATATTAGTTGAGTGTATGGGAGAGTTTATCTCCAGGTTCTCAGTTCTGTTCCGTGAGTCTTATACGGTGTTATAGATCAGTTTTACTTCAGTAAAGCCAGGGGTGGGGGGAATCTTTGCCGTTCTAGAAAGACTAGTTTATTTATTTTGACCATTAACATTTGCCTGGCATTAACACTTTTAATATTAAGCCTTGGAATTTTGGTGTGTTAAATCCAGTTATGGTATCACCTTGATTCTCACAAAAACAAGACCACCGTTATACAGCTCACTCTTATACTGTACAGTATTTTAAATGGCGGATGGCATTTCCACATGACTCAGTGATTTTATTTATTTGTTTTTAAACTATAAACTCATTCTTGTAACCTTTTTGGTAAGAATTAACTCAGACTTTCCTATGCTTTTTTGTTAACGCATTCAAGGTCCAGCCTGGAGAGGGAAACAAAGCCGCCTTCAATGACATGAGGGCCCTCTCTGGAGGCGAGCGTTCCTTCTCCACGGTCTGCTTCATTCTCTCTCTCTGGTCGATTGCTGAATCTCCCTTCAGATGCCTGGATGAGTTTGATGTCTACATGGTAGTGTTAAATTTTAAGTTATCTAATTTTGTTGTTCAAAGTATGTTTTGATAAGACGTCAGTTTTCCTTTAGTTTTGCCTACAACTGAGAAGATCCTGCCCTGACACCTCACTTAGTTTGTGGTAAGTGTGGGAAAGCACTAAGTGCAGCCTCTCCCTTGCCACCACACTGCTGGCAGCCTGCCCTGGATTTCAGCTCGCTCTCCCATCCCTGGTACCCCTGCTCGCCATCAGCGCCTCTCTGGCCTCTTGCCTGGCTTGCTTCCGTTTCCTGTTTTAACACACAGTTGTCACCGGGTCACGAGCCTTGCAGTGACTGTCTACTCGCTGTTCATTCTCTCCCTTCCTTCACAACCACACTTTTCAAAAGAGCAGTATATAGAGCAGCAGGGAGCAAGAACATTTAACGTTAAAATAAAACCAACATTGAGCCCTGCTGTGCTGCCAGGTGCCCATTGACTTTGGGCAGTGTGCGTACCCTTTTTTGGGCCTCAGTTTCTTCAGCTGTCAGTAAGGTCATTCGTCTTTCCTGCCTCTCAGGATTGCAGTGAACTTCTGTGATGTCTCACAGCTAGTAAGTCCTTGCAGCTGAGCTACAAGTCATTCTCTTCTGTGTGTCTCATTCTCTGTTTAGTCCACCGTAACCTGAGTTAACCCTGCACTACTTCAGCAAAACTGCTTTAGCAAAGATCATAAATGAACTTTGAATCTTCCTTTAATTCTCAAAGTATTTGACACCACAGACCGTCTTCGAAAATGTGTCTTCTTGCCAGTGTCCATACTCCACTCCCTGGTTCTGCTCTGTCCTCTTGGTCTCAGTCTGACAAGCTGCCTCCCTTAATTCCCTTGTTCTTCAATACTTGGGGTCTTCTTTGTTAGTTTTCTCTTGTTAATTTTCCTGGTTACCTACCCACTCTCAACCCCAACACGCCTACATTTGGATACCAACAAATCCTCAGGTACTTTACTTGGATACCAAGTACCTCACTCAGCCTGACAGCTCCTGCCCTCTGCACGCATACACCCAGCTACCTAGTAGATGACGCACATCGCAGACTCAGTGTGCCTCTATTAACGTCTCCTCCTTTCTTTTCCAGAATTCCCTACTTTGATTAATGGCACATCCACTCACCTAACTTTGAACATTTTGATTTATCTTTGATTTTTTTCACTGGCACATTAGATTACCTTTCAGATACGCCCGATGGAAGAATTTCTATATGAGCCATTGAGCAGTAGCAGCAGGCGCTGGGTCCCCTGTCTGCCCCAGAGCTTCTGTTCTAAACCATTTCCTCCTGCCACACGTAGCTTCTACTAGACCATTAAAAATGTGTGCATTTGTTTGTCTGTTTTCAATTTTCAGTTTGTTTTTTTTGGGGGGGGGTGGAATATTTAAAATTTTTCCTTTTCTGTAATTTAACTCAAAATACAGGCACATTGTTCAATTCATTTGACATAAATACATACTTTGTTCATTTTAGACCTAAGCATTCTTTTCCTATATACTCATGTGCTATTTAGTTTATTTTAAAGAATGAATCAAGAAAATGGTCCATAAATTCAAATTCAGATTGTATAAATTGTAGGTGATGATGGAGACAGAGTTTTTGTGAAACATCTTAACCATTGAGAGGAAATTTTGAGAGATTTAATAAGTTAGAAACTGTTCACTTTTGTTAATGCTGACCTTGGTGGTGAACTTTATAACTTAGGTTCATTCCGTATCAGTTAGGTCTTTTGAATATTTTCTGATTGTTTTAACTGTGAAATATACTTGAGGAAGGCAGCTGCACAGACATACACTTTGCCTATGGACATGACCTGGAAGTTAGATATTCTTTTTCCCTCTGAGAATTTGGCGCCATAGGTAAGGATCAACTTACATAAAAATCTAGATGTGCGTGTCAGCCAGCAGATGTGGCTATTACAGGAACATGGCTGAAACAGCCGTGATCCTGACCTTTGCCTTTGTTCCCAGGACATGGTTAACCGGAGAATAGCGATGGACATGATACTCAAGATGGCAGATTCCCAGCGCTTTAGACAATTTATCTTGCTTACCCCTCAGAGCATGAGGTAACTTTAAAAAGCTCTTCTGTGAATATAAATACTAAGTATGTAAGTGGGGGGGAAACACATTTCCTAATCTTAATGTTTTTAATGCAAAGGCATAAAAATTATCTCCTCTGCCAGTTCAAGAGATTTTAGATGATTTCCTTTTTTGTTGTTGCAAATTTCATTCTCTCCCTTTTAGAACACAAGCAAGTTACTTTGAATGTGATTATTGACTTGGTGCTGTTTGTATTTTGAATCTGTTCCTTCCTGATTTCATAGCCAATTAATATAAAATAATTTTTGTAATTCTGTTTAGACCACAAGAAGCAAGCCATGATTTCCCTCATCTTGGTTTTTTTCTTGGTGCTGTGCAAGTACCAGCCTTTCTGAACAAAGAGCTCGCTGAGCCAGCTGTCTCTGGCTGCTGAGGAGGAGTCGGCACCCGGTTACGTCCAGTGATGCCCACCTCCGAGGTGGTTGCTTGGTCCTGTGGAGATTTAAATTTGTAATTAGGAGTATTGAGGGACTGTCTTTCTGACTGAAACAACCAGAGTGAGAAATAGTTAATACATAAATCTCCTTCATTTTCTTTTTCCTCCAAACTGAAAGCCCATAGCAGTTACCAAGAAGTTAAAGAATGAAAAAAAATTTCCTTAATGCAAATGACATTTCTTCTCCAACTCCAGAGACACACATATCCCTGTAGCAGGTGACAGCCATTACATATTTTCTTGAGGAAGCATTAGCATTTTTTTAAATGTGAAACAATTTTTCTTGGAAATTTGAGTAATTAATTTTGCTTCCTCTAGCTCGCTTCCATCAAGTAAACTGATTAGAATTCTTCGAATGTCTGATCCTGAAAGGGGACAAACCACATTGCCTTTCCGGCCTGTGACTCAAGAGGAAGAAGACAACCGGAGCTGATTTTTAACAACATGCCATGTCCTCCTGTTGAAAGATTTGTAAAGGGAAAATATTCAGGACTATTTCTTGAAATAAAATGAAGCTGAAGATATTCTAAAATAAAAAAACTCATTTATATATCTTACCCTAGTATACAATATGTAAATAAGCCTAGAAAACCAACTACAACCAGCAATTTAAAGTTACTATTACTTTACTTTGAGAAAATCAGTTTCATAGTACTGGTTTTAAATCTTTTTAAGTTTGTTTTTTTTTAACCATCTACTTTTATAGATTGTTTTTCAGAAGTAAAATTTTGTACATATGCACATGTACATACTGTTTAGTTTGGGTTCATTTCTATAGTGTTTTGTAAGAATTAAAATAAAAGTCTGAGCTCCTGATTCTATTCAGTTTTGCTTCCCAGAACTGTGTTCTCGTTGCAGGGACAGGGCACAGCGGACATCTGGTCTGGTTTGTGCTTATTGATCGTGATGGGCCTACACAGGCTGAAAGCTCTTTGAACAGAATCCCCGCACAGGTAGTTTTTAACCCCAGAGATCCAACTGTAGATTTGGACTGTACTTTTAATTATTTCATCAATATGAGATGCTGTCTCTTTATAAGACTCTCCACAGAGTACATCAGCACTGCCCGCTCCGACGCAGCACCTTCCCCCAGTCTGCTCACTGTTGTCCCCCAGCTCAGTGTCCCAACCATGTCAGACCTAGATTGTGACACAGGGCTGTGTGCCCTGCTCAGCAGCGGACTTGCCAGGTTTACGATCCCTCTGGTAGCATGCCAGGGTTCTCAAGCTCAGGCTCGGCTGAGAGAGGGCACAAGCCGGGGGACCGTGCAGGCCAGGCTGAGGAGTCGGGCTGGGAAATAGGAGGACAAAGTTGGCTCTCCCTGGAGCAGGAAAGAAGTAGCCAAAGGCCGAGCTGTTCATTGTGAGCTGACATCAGTTATAAGGCGCAGCCTGGCTTTAGAGGCATTAAAAAGTGTGCTTTTCAGAATGGTAAAATACAGTATATTAAGAAAAGGTATTTATGAGCTTTTTTAAAGAAAGCATGACTAGGGATCCTGCCTTTCTGCTCTGCATTGATACTAAAAGACACAATGGATATCCATCAAGGAGCATCCCTGTAGTGTTAGCAATAAATAGGAGTGAAATTTGAAAAGAAGAATCCTTAAAAAGGCAGTTTGAAAGCAGTGTCACTTGAGAAAATCTGGATTTTGGTTTTGGTGGGGAGAGATAGTGTTGAGATTATTTGGCAAAGGCTAAGTCCAAAAACTTACACTTTTCCAATCTAAGAATTTTTAGAAAGATGAAATATGCTGAATTTTTTCAGCGTATTTTTTCCTCACCAAAGTGATTTTTTTAATTACATTTGTAATTCATTTGTTTCAAAACTATTTTAACATCATATGCTTTTTCAGATTAAAAAAGCAAAAAAAAATACACCAAATGCATACACTTACATTAATTAAACTTCAGTGTCTGAGTTTTTGTGATGATTTCTAAATGTTGTGGTTCTTTATACAAATGAGAAAAAAAATATTCCTCAGGTATCCACGCACCACTGTCATGTCACTTTGGCCTCACAAAGTTTGGTTGTGATTCTCATAAGTGAAAATATCTACAACTAATATTCTAATTAATAGTCATATTAATTAGAATAAAATAATAAAAAGTTGTTCCTTTAAAATATGTGGCTTTGCAAAATAAACTTTAAGTTTACATGTATGAAGGTCATGCTTTTGTGAGTTGGGGAGGGTAGTGGTAACTCAGGGCGCCTCATCAGACAGGTGACTCTTGCACCCACCGCTGACCATCAGTGCAGCGAGGGCGGAGCAGTGCGGACCCCGGAAACTCGGATGAAAAGCTTCCTTGGAATCTTCAATTCGGCCTTTTCAGGTCTATGGGGTAGGTGTGTTTCAACTGCACCCCTCTTTTTTGTCTTTCTCAAAATGACAAATGTGTAAATAGTTACTCAAGCCAATGATAACAGTAACGATTCAGGCATTGCCTTCTTAAATATCCTCCAAGTTTTCACTTCGTCCCAACCCGTAGTGCTTGATCTGTCTGTCCTCAGATGGCTGGACTGCATACGCAGAGACGTGCTTCAACTCTGAGTAAGAAATTATTGGTTGGGACTCGAGAACCGTCAGAAATGTTGGCTGCAATAATAAAACCATGGGATCCAGAGTGTCTGTTGAAAAGCTTTCTGGAGTAGAATAGATGTGGTACAACTCAGTACAAATGATTATGTCCTGAGTCAGTTTTCTACTGGATTTAGGACCTGTTGCTGCATCTGCATCACTTTGACCAACTGAGATTTCTAGAATTGGTTTGAAAGCTACAGCTCTACACAAACAAGTATGGATATATCTGGACTTGAACTAAATTCCTGTGAACTTGAAGGCATGTCAAGATGATTATTTAATAGGAACAGGTTTTATTTAAATAGTGGCAAAGTAATGTGGGCATAAACTGAGTCAACAAATAAAATTTCTTATATATAATATTGATACCTAGCCTATAAATTTCCACTTGGGCATCTGGATAGAATTCAAAGTGGCCTGAGAATGCTAATAAGCAAGCTCAAGAGCACTCGTGCTGCCTAATTTGTCTCCTGTTTGAGGATGTAGAGATTAATTCACTCAAAAATGGAGTTCTTGCCACATGCCCAAAGACTGTTTTAAGTGCTAGGAACACCACTGTGGTGAGTAAATCTACACTCAGAGTTTTAAACCTAATTAGTGTTAGGATTTTAGATAATGGTAGCTGCTATGAATAGGAAAGCAGGGTCAAGAGTTGGGGGGTGCTATTTCTGGGGGAACGTTAAGGGAACACTGCAGAAGGTAACATTTAAGTGAGAGAAAGAACTAGCGGAAGATAAAGGGCAGCAGTTCTGGGGGAGGAAGTAGGTGCGAAGGCCTTGGAGTGGGAGTGGGCTTGAGGTCCGGAGTCAGGAGGGTGTGTGTAGTGCTTAGTGAGGAAAGGGGCTCGTAGAGATGAGACGGGAGGTTTTTGGACCTGGTGTGATAGAAACATCCAGTGCCCGGGCTGATGCATGAGCAGTCTTGGGCTGTAAGTGTTGCGGGCCAGCAATTTGGAGGCTCTCTTCAGTGGTCCATATCAGGTCATGATGACCAGACTCAAGTGGAGAGGGAAGCCTTCAGAGTTGGATAGCAGCAGGGGGGCTCCTGGAGTTGAGAGGAGTTAAGAATCATGGCTCTAGGGTCCCAAACACGGAGAATGCTGGCGCCTTCATGGAGGAGGCCTTGTGGCGGTGAAGAGCAACGAGGGCTGGTTGGAGAAGGAGAGAAACTTATCGAGTGTGGGAACTTTAAGATAACTTCATTAAATTGTTTTTTTTTTTAAGTGATGTTCAGCTTTTTAAAGATTCGTTTATGCATACATGAGCTGGGGTGCAGGCCAGAGGTGCAGGGGGTGAGAGGACTCACCAGAGACAGTGGGGAGCAGAGCAGCAGATCTACTGAAATCCACTGCTGAGGGGAGCAGCGGGAAGACGGGAGAGGTCTGCTGCACCGTGTGGGTCAGCTCCCTGGCCAGCCTGGGATCAAACTCATGCTGCAGTGGCTGGCGATAGCTTGATAGCGCTGTGTCTTTAACCCCTGTGCCACCAGGGAGGCCTCCTAAATTGATGTTTGATGGGTAACTTTGGTAAATGTAAGAATTTGGAAAACAACTTGCGCGTCAAGATTATTTCATCTGCAAAATGCTGGGAAAAACCCAAATTGCGTGCCTGCCATATCTGGGAAGACTAATTGCTTGCAAGAGAAGAAGGAAGGGAACACTGTCATTTACATTTCCTTGGCAGCTAACAGTCAGCTCCTCACCACACCCCACCCGCCCTCTGCTGTGAGACCGAGGACGGCGCCTCTGCCTTGACGGGCTTCCAGCTGCCTGGGAAACAAGCTCTTGAGGAAGGAAGTTCCCGTTTTTCATCTAGAGTCTGATCTTGAATGAGTGAATTGCAAGGAAAATGGAGTCTGGAGCAACATGGTTCCCTTTTAAAAGAAGGTTTAGAGTGATTCGAGAAATGAAAGGAAATGGAAACATAGGACTTCAAAATGCATGGAGTCCAAGGTAGGAAAGATGGCAGACATTTGGGGCCTTTTCTTTTCAGAACAGGGGAATTAAACAGCCAATTAACGCAGTAATTAAAACGGCAGCAGAGTGTGTTCAGTTAGAGCAAACAGGACCTGGCCTACTTGAATGGCCTGAGGAAGTCTGCTTGGTCCTTCCTCGGGAACCACTAACTGGTTGCAATACTGAGTTCCAGTGCGTGAGGTCTGGGTGTATTTAATTGGGGCTTGAGTGCAGAGGGTGGCATTAAACTCACCTACTTTCATGGCTGGTCTGTGCAACGCCTGCTTCCCTTTATCCATTAGTCATTTCCTGTGGCAGATTGTATCCTCGAAGGATGGCCACAATAGTTCCCTTCTATGTCCTTCCAGAACCTGGCTTGGCAGATTAATTCCCTTCTTAACCTGGGCGGATTTGTACCTCACAATTAATAGGATACAGCAAAAATGACAATGTGACTTCCAAGGCTGTGAGAAAAGGCAATAAAAGAACGACGTATCTGGAACAGACTGGAGCACTGTGCCCCCATGGAGGCCAGCCTGACCTCTCTAGGCAGCAGATAGCAGGGAAAGCCTCAGCCAGGCTGCGCGGTTGACTACCAGGACAGAGCAAAATGCCAACTTCTGGCAGGCCTGTGCTGGCAGAGCGTTGAGCCACCATGGACATAGTGTGACGCTCTAGGGCCTCTGTGCTGAGGAAGCACCGAGTGCTCCTGTGGAGAAGCCCTGAAGCTACCAGGAGGGACGCCCAGTCGGTGCCCAGCAGCTCCAAGCCCCTGTTTTAGCTCCATGTGGCTACACTACACGAGACCGCAAGTCCAGATCGCCCTGGTGAGTCGCTCTCGAATTCCTGACCCTCAGAAGCCATGAGAAGTAGTAACACAAGTGTTTCTTTTTCTAAGCCAGTTTGGGGCATGAGTTGTTGAGGGGCAATAATAGTTGTATGTGACTCTGGTGTTCTTTCGTGAGAATATATTTTTCATTTACAGATGTTGCAAGGGCAGTGGATTTTATTTTTTCTCCGTATTCCATATTTTTAAAATATGTCCAGGTTACTGTGCGTGCATCATCCTGTTGCCTCCAGGTGGTGCATGGTGTGCTATCGGCTGTGTCCAGCTACTCACCAGTCCTTCTAGTAACGGACCCCTACGTCACCTCTGATGCCCATACCACAAACAGCTGTCGTGGGCATCTCGGGACACGTCCCCTTTTGACATTCCATGACAGCTTCTTGGGGACCGCTGGGCCAGAGGGCTTGTTCTAACCAGGACTACTGGACTCCCTCCAGGAGCCGGAGCCTGGCCACACCGCCAGAGCAGGGAGGACCTAGACAAGCAGACATGTCAGTGGACGGCCCACTTGCTACATTTATAAGGAACCCGTGGGTCTGCTGCTGAGTTTGTTTTCCATCAGTGTTCAGATACCCATAAGCGCTCACTGCCTTCACCCAGGCCTTACTTCAGGCGCCGACTAAGACCCACGCAGAGGCCACCGCGGCACCCTTTCCTCTGCACCCCGCGGAGCTTGCGGTGTTTCCTCATAGCTCTTACGTGGGACGCTGTGCATGTGTCTGGCTATTGTGTCTCCTCCAGGAGCGTGGTGTTGGTGCACAGTGGGTGCTGCTTGAGCGCACTGCCCGAGCCTGGCTCAGTTGGATCCACTGGAATGAGCCTCTTCCTCACCCCACTGCACCCTCACATTAGCAGGGGAGAGGATTGGGAAGGCAGAGCCCGGGTATCTCTGCCTCCACTTTGGACTCACCAAGCTCGGGGCTAGAGGGCCCAGAACCTTCTCTCAGCACCTGGGCCTGCCCTCTGGGCGGGGGTGTGGTATGTCAGTGTTTCAGGCCCACTGGGGGCCTGAGTGTCTGCAGTGGAGTCTGCTTGCTCCCCTTCTTGTTGGGTGGACTCATTAGGCCCTGATCGCCGGTCTCATGTAATGATCCTAAGACAGAAAAGGAAGAATATTTAGAAAAAAAGAAGCACTCCCTAAAAAGTGCCTGTGTGGATAATGCAACACTGCAGTGCCTCTCTGCAACTACTGGTTCCACGTGGCAAGTTAAATAAATTGAAATGAAATTAGAATTTCTGCTTCTCAGTCACACCAGCCACGTTTCAGGTGCTGGGTAGCGACACGTGGCCAGTGCAGGTAGAGGCCGTCTGTTTCCACCGCCACAGAAAGTTGTGCCCGACCACACAGCCCGGGCTGGTCTGAGCACAAGGCC